TTTGACAGACTCAACGTGGTCTGCACGGGCATTGGTCTCTGCTGCGCGGACAAGGTCATCGGTATCATCGGCAGTTAAATTGCTACGAAAGAGTCCATCGCTGGCAATAGACTGGCCATCTGCCGTCTTTTGGTGCTGATACCGCTGCTGAGGCATGGCTTCCTCTTCGGACAAGGTGCGGAGAGTGACGGTAACAGGGTAGTCATTGAAGTCCGCAGCTTTGCTGTCATCAAAGTCAAAGGCCGTGGGCAGCACACCGCGCTCAACGTCCATGTTACTGTGCTTTTTGATCGAATCGAGGAAAAACCGTTCGATACGACCCTGATGCAGCACAACCTGTTGAAAACGACTGATGCCGGGGATAGTATCGGGGATACGGTCAGAGCGATGGATCTGTCCGTTCTCATCGGGGTTCCAGAGACAGATCTCGAGCATGTGGTTAGACTCGAGCCAGACCCGATGGGCAAAGTCAAACGAGTCGAAGATCTCAAGGGTGCGGCATTGCAAGCCATCCGCCTGGCCGTTGAAGATCTGTTGGTATGTGGTTAGGGGTTTGTAGCTTTTTATACCGCACATGGCCACGCACCTTTGTGCCACGCTTATCGACAATGCGAGTACTGATTCCGGTACGACTCAGCCAGTTAGCCAGCATGAGGCCCGCGGGACCAGCTCCGACGATGAGCACGTCGACCTGGTCTTCGGTTGTGGGAAGCGCGCCTGGCATGGTAATGACAAAGATATTCTTAAATACGGCTTTAGAGGGTACACAGTCTCGAATTGGAGGCCGTATTCCAGGGCCATTCCGATACCTTAAATAAACAAATGGAGTTTACTTCCGAGGTCTGATCCGAAGGCCACCATATCAGTTAGTAGACTATCGGGATTCCTTTGGGTGACAGGAGTGCCATTGGCTATGCTTCTCAATACCCCAGCCGTGCCCCGCAACTCCCACTCCAAAGAGTAGGGATGTGGAGGCGATCATCTTCGGCCTACAACTTGCATCACTTCCGACGACCCGTGCGCGGTCGGCGAGGTCCTTGGCATGCAGCCTTCTTTCGGAAAGCGTCATCGGAGATGCAGTAGTAAGAAAGCAGACACAAACGGTCGACTATCAAAATAAGCCTTGGCGCTCGGTGCTAGCGGATTGGCGTGGCTAGCGGCTCATATTCGCAGTGTGGAGCCTATAATACATAAAGAGGAGCTGGGGCTGAAATCAAAAACAAACAACACTCCATCTCAAGTCAGGTCAACAACTCACCATGGACTCCTACACTGTCGCTCCACATCTTGAGTACTTCAAGCAGCCCCTAGCGGCCTTCACCGCTGCCCGACCTGAATTCGATAGCTTCGGCGTTGGCGCCTACATTTTCTCCACCTGCTCGCGCCAGGATGCCGACAACAGGCCGCGCATTCTTCTCCTCCAACGAGCGCTGACAGACTCAATGGGCGGCTGCTGGGAGGGGCCTGGGGGCGCCTACGAGCCCGAGACTGATGAAACTTTGCTAGACGGCGTGGTGCGGGAAGTGTTAGAGGAGAGCGGCCTGCACGTTTCGCGGATCGTGGAACTGGTTGCGGTGGATAGTTGGTTGCATACACGCCGGAGTGATGGCACCAAGCAACGGCTCGCCAAATATACGTTCATCGTCGAGGTGCATGAAGCAATGCAACAATCACGGGCTGTACCGTACGAGGACATCCCCATCCGCATGGAGGCATCGGAACATCAGGCCTTCGAGTGGGCTGTAGAGGAAGACATTCGGCTTTCGTTGACCCCAGGACAAGGCTCGTACAAATTCCCACTGGCCTTCATCGGCCACCAAGCACCTAACATCCTCCGCGCTCTTGAACTGTTTGGTGCGCTGCAACCCCGGACAATGTGACCATTTGAATACTCCTAATAGCGATGCATTGCTGAGAACCTGTAATAGTAACATAATAATATAGTTCGCAAATCGATCGTGTCATGTCTCATGCAACGGCTCAATGGTATATCAAAAACAATCGTAGCACATGATTTCAATCCTCCGCCGGCGGGATGTTGGCTGCCTGCATCTCCAGCGCCACCCGGTCCACCTCCTTCCACACACGAAGTAGATTCCCTCCGGCCACCTTGGCTGCATCCTCGTCACTGATGCCTCGTTGCAGCAGTTCGGCGATCAAGTTTGGGAACTTGGACACATCCTCGAGCCCCTGGGGAGCACTCGGAATGCCGTCAAAATCACTGCCCAGCCCGACATGGTCAAACCCAGCCACCGTGCCGATGTGGATGATGTGGTCTGCAACCCGTTCCAGAGTGGCATTGGTGGGGTCCTCTTCCGGCAAACCATCAGTACTATTGGATGCGGTACACGAGATAAAGCTCGGCGAAAAGTTGACCATGACCAGCGAATTTCTCTCTCGAACCAGAGCCAGAATGTCATCGGGCACGTTGCGCGGGTGCGGGCAGAGCGCATACGCAGAGCTGTGGCTGAAGATCACAGGAGCCCGGCTACCTGGCCATTGGGATTTGCCCGCGCCCAGCACATCGCGCATCGTGTCCACACTAACATGCGCCAGATCGACGATCATACCGATGCGATTCATCTCAGAGACAAGTTTCTGGCCTGCATCGCTGACTCCGTGCCAGTAAGGTTTAGCCACTTTCGCACCACCTTGTGGAAGCTCCACGAGGGCGGCATCGGCGTATATGTTGTGGCAGTTATGCGTGAGAGTCGCATAGGAGACGCCTAGCTCGTAAAAGATGCGCAAGTGGGCCAGTGAGTTTCCGATAGAATGTAAACCCTCGATGCCAAGCGGCGAGATGATTTTACCCTCCTGAAACGCACTCATGGCGGTCGTGCCGTTGGGTGGCGCAGAGAAAACATGGGGGTAAACTCGCTGGACACGCGACATCAAGTCCACCTGCTCCATGGTCTCTCGGATACCTGCTCAACATTATGAGTACCACGTTCAAGAATGATCCCAAGGGTACATACTTCCTGCATAGTTCTCATCCGAAAAATCCGGCCAATCCTTCGGGCAAGGGACGTACACGCTCCAGAATGTCCCCCCGACCATGCCTTGCTTCAGGCGAGGGAGATCCACATGGAAGGGCATGGTGCCATTTACAAAGAGCGATGTGAAATTATCTCCGTAGATGTGGTTCTTGAAGACTTCTCGAATCATGATTGGCAGATCGTCATGACCGTCTGTGGCAAGTCAGATTATGTCTTGAGAGCAGAACGCCGCACGGCTTACCGATCAGTGGCGTCTCCGACAGGATCTTGTGCACGCGCTGTTCAATTGGAAGTTCCGCGTTGGGATACCGGTAGCCCCAGGGCCAGAAGAACACCATGGCCATGATCAGCATCGCGGCCAGGAGCAGGTGTCGTAAGCTCTGCCGGATGTTGAGGGCTTGGGCCTTTTCATGCTTGGGGGCAATATGGTACGTGCGAATGCGGGGTTCTTCATATACACGACGGTCTATCAGGACAGCCTTTTCGTCAGAGGCCGCCATGGACGGTGATGGGATGTGAGTGTGTGGTTGTTGGGGTGAGGAGAGAGCGTATCGAACAGCCCCAGAGGAAGAACAGAAATGACTAAGCCACTACCTTCTAACTGATACAGATCTAGAAGAATTGGTGGGTCGCATTAACCGTTATTCCATAATAACTGTATGAAAAGCAGAATATCCAGAAAGGAAGGGACGAGGGGCCGATATATGAGGCCCGTGCTGCTGCCTCGGCATGATTCCCGAGCCCGATTCAACTAACTACAACCCTGCCAGAAAGAGAGCAAAATGATCGTTACCCCTTATCACCGCGATTGTCCGCCTCTAGAAGAATTGTCACATGTCATTGAACACGGTCTCCGACAGAATTTCGGGTTTGCAAGAGCGGAAGCGGTGCAATGCCCGGATCTGCGCCAGCGACCTTTTGGACTGGCTGCACCGGGCCTGTCGGGCAACCCATGCATTGGCGATATTGGCGGTCGTCAAAACCTGTTTCCGACCCCAAACCTGCAAGCAAAATACTCTCTGCTGTCTCTGGCGGATAAGATGCGGATGTCACCCAGCCAAGGGTTCATCATCGGAGCGGGAGCAGCGCCGTTTCAGGATATAGGCCAGAATGCGGAATTGGCACCGAATATTTCCTGGGAGCACAAGAATGGCTTTTCACCAAATCTGGACGACCCGGCTTCCCTCACAGTTACGAATGGTACTCGTGTTGTTGAAGTTGCCAGGGACCTATCCGGAAACCCCGATATTAGATGTGGCAAAACCTCAAGCACAAATTGCGCTCTGATGATGAATCTATATGGGTCCGATGGCACCACCGGGGCGGTTATCAAAGTCATCGCTAAAGCTCGCACTGGACCGCAGAATTTCACCGATTGCATTCGATCGAGCTTGCGAAATGCATACGGCGACTCTCGAGCCATTAGTCTTGGGGGAGTTTTTTTGCTAAAATCCGGGAGTGCCAACTTCCATGTTATGCCTGACTTCCCAGCCCCAGACCAGTTGCCGTTCCGAGATCGGAAGCAAATGGAAGAAGAATGGCTCAAGTATCATGTTTGCACAGCACCGGTTGTTTGTTTAACGGTATTGCATAGTGCCGATCCGGACAACCTGGAGCTGAGAATGGAGCACACGCACTGCTTTGAAGTGGATGGAAACTCGAAAGGAGGGCACTACCATTATGATGTCGACTGTGGAGAGGATGTTGAGTATGAGGCCTATCTCAATGTGGCTCCAGTTGTTTACCGGATTGATCGGCCTTGACTAAGATACTAGATCCTATCCTGTCGATGCAACATACTTCTGTAGCTGCCATACTTTGAATCGTGTGAAGGGGAAATAAGAAATGGAATTCAAGATCTATCATTACCCAGTCATCGCAAAGCGGTGGAAGACAGCAAAAAGAAGTCTATAGAAAAGCAGAAGGGGAAAACCATGAAAATGCCGTGCACCAATCCCAAACACCTGAGATCATCGTTTTTCTTGTTCATTGAGTTCCTGGTACTCAAGTGTACCGTACCGGGGTCAACTGAGACTTCGTGTTCTGGTGGGCAGGATTCCAAGTCGGTGCGTACGCTGGGTTAGTGGCGTAAGATACGTTGGAAGACGTGTTCAGCGATACAGTCGACACCTCCTTGGGCATTTCGAAATCGCTCTTGGGGGAGAGCATCCATCCAGGATGAACGAAGTTAAAGACCCCCACCGCGAGTGCCATCATCATTCCATCAAGAATCACAAAATAGATCTGGTGGGTGATCAGGAAACCAGCCCAACCCTGAGCCAGCTCAACAACACGATAGATACTCCGGACGTAGATACAAGTCAACGAGAAGAACATGGCACATAGCATAGGAGTCAGTGACTTCCGATGCGGGTCGATGAGGTGGCAGCGCGAGGTGCGGCGGACGAAGTCAATAGCGCAGATGACGAATATGGTGATGGAAAACATCTGGAATATAATGCCGGCCAGCATTAGGTTGGAGCCGAGAGCCGTGGACTTCCGTGCGCTGGACTCAATTGAGGCCAGCCCACCACCGGCGGCCTGCATCAGCAGAGAGATCACGTCCGCGACGCAGAAAATCCAAAGATACGCCTTGGGTGAGAGGTAGGAACTTTCCCTCCCCGCCACCATGATCAAGCGACCCAGAAGGATATAGAGGCCTGCGGTGAAAAAGACGGGGGCTAGAAGAAGCACGGAGATTATTAGCATGCTATTCAGTCAAATTCGGATTGAGATTGAGTAGTACGAGTGAAGATCGGTAACTAGTCTCCAACTCGCCAGGTAGGGGCAGATGGTAGTGCTCACAGATGATGAGGGTGGATATCTGAATCAGGTATGCGGTCGAATTGTAAGGGCAATGTGCCGACGTGAGTCGAGCTCCCCAGCCAATGAATTCCCCTATGAATATGATCAGCTTCTGTTTCCGGGAAGGATCTGAGTCGAGATGAGCCTACCCAAACATCCAATAGTGAACACAGAGCACCACCATGTCCGCTTCCAGCAAAACTGGACCATGTGGCCAACCCCCGAAAGACCAAAAAAGAGAACGAACACAACGCCCGCGGCCTTCCAAGGGACATAGTCGTACGGAGTCTTCCACGGGCCCAGTGCGTGGCACCCATTGAAGATGTTTTGAGTCTCCTGGTGGCTCATATTGATAGGTGTGCGGTCAAAAAAGTGGGCTAAATACAGTCTCGGTGAGCAGATTGAAGGAGAGGTGACAGGGAAAAAAGAAGCTGGACTGTCTCCATCGGCCCTCTATTTATCATTATCCTGTTGCCGGTTGTAAAAGGGGGTGGCATCCGAAAATAGATATAGAATTCACAGGTAATAAGGCTGCGCGAAGAAAGAAAATGGTGAGGTACAGTACTGGAGGCACGAAGTTTTGCCCAATTGGTGTAGCTTCGCAGGGTCCATCAGTACTTGGCCGCGTTTCAGCTCCAACACGCTTGTCCCCCAAATACCCCCATCCAAAATACTCATATCATCGTTGGTTAATTGGGTTATTTTGTCGTAGCGTCTAAGCCACGACGGGATGCCTGCATCTATACAAGGTCTGCTCCCATTGGCTCCAGCGTATCTCTGCGCGGGACTTCAATTTTGGCCCCTCGACAAGGCTGACCGGGTGAGTAGTTAGTCAGGAACAGCAGTGGCTATGAACGGCCCGCAGTCTGAAAGTCCTGGATCCGCACGGATGATTGGCAGTGTCGTCGCAAAACTGTCCCTCAGTATGCAGTTTTGGTTTTGGGGGCCTGGCCCTGCGACATAGCAGTGGTCCTAGCACCGTCGGTAATAGGCCCCCGCGTAAATGCGATTGGGGGCGAGACCATATTGCACCAGAAAGATGATGAGAATATTCGGTCAAGGTCGAATGATGCTATTTTGGTGCTTTCATCCTCTGATGGAATGCCGACACCGATCGTTGCTGACTGTTCATTCGCTCCCGTCGCCCCGCCTGAAACTTTTCTTCGCCTGGACCCTAACCAAACGATCGCAGCCTTGAGGCCTCCCACTTCGATAACTCACGAAACATGGAAGGCACCGGCTGGCTGGCCGTTTGGCACACCTATCGGCTGCCCTTGCTGGTTACGCTGGCTGCTCTCCTCGTCTTCCATGCCTATCGCAGAGCCCAGTCCCGATCCAAGACCCCCGCGTCGGTGTCCGTCCCATCGTCGCCCCGGAGCCAGTCGCCGTACAAGGAGAAGATCCAACCTGAGACGGCCCGTTCTGAGAAGCCCGTCAAGCCAGCAACGGGCCCCAAACGCGTGCAAGGGAAGAAACCCGCGAAGACGGTTGGCGGGCGTGGCGGATCAGACCAGGACAATCACCCCGTGTCGTTCATTCAGCCTATTATCTTCTACGCCTCGTTGACAACCACAACTGAGCGATATGCACATATGCTGCTAGAGGATCTCCGGGCTGCGGCGCAAGAACGAGCAGACCCCCAAAACCGCGAGCGTGGCATCCTGCCTCCCCAGATCCAGGACCTGGCCTACATCGACTTTGACGATTTTTTCACCTCGGCTCCCCAGCCGCCAGCTTCTTCGCCCGGCGTCCGCTACGTCTACTGCATCCTGATCCCTACCTATAACATTGACACCGTCATCAACCTCTTCCTGACTCACTTGGACGAAACCCACAACGATTTCCGCATTGACACCGGCTCACTGTCCAAGCTCGCGGGCTATTCGGTGTTTGGATTTGGAGATAAAGAGGAATGGCCAACCGAGGAAGAAGGCTTCTGCTCGCAAGCCAAAGAGATCGACCGATGGATGGCCAAGCTCACCGGGCGCAAGCGTGCATATCCTCTGGGAATGGGAGATGTGAAGAGTGACGCGGAGCAAGCGCTGAAAGAGTGGTCTCGCGGACTGAAGGACATTCTGTGTGACATACTGGAGAACGGCGGGCTCGGTGAGGGTGTCCCTGGCAGTGGAGATCCCGCGGAAAGTGATGAGGAGGATCTCGATAATGGCAATGAGGATCAACAAAAAACTCAGACTATGGTGGATCTGGAGGACATCCGGATGGGCGGTGATGCCCAGGGAGGACCTATCCCTGTTGATTTCACCACGGCTGGCAAGTCAGTTGCACCGGCAGCGACTGCCAAGGAGATGGTTCCAAAGACATCGCCAACATACGCTTCGCTCACGAAGCAGGGTTATACTATTGTGGGGTCCCATTCTGGTGTCAAGATCTGCCGTTGGACCAAGTCGGCGTTGCGGGGACGGGGGTCGTGCTACAAGTTTTCTTTCTATGGCATCCGATCCCATTTGTGCATGGAAGCGACACCGTCGCTGTCATGCAGCAACAAATGCATTTTCTGCTGGCGCCACGGCACGAACCCGGTGGGGACCACCTGGCGTTGGCAAGTGGACAAGCCCGATCTAATCTTCAAGGGCATCAAGGAAGGCCACTACCAAAAGATCAAGATGATGCGTGGTGTGCCCGGGGTGCGTGCCGAGCGGTTCGCAGAGGCGATGCGCATTCGACACTGCGCCCTCAGTCTTGTCGGCGAGCCCATCTTCTATCCTCACATCAACGAATTCCTGGACATGCTACACGCCGAGCGCATCTCCAGTTTTCTAGTGTGCAACGCGCAGCATCCCGATCAGCTCCAGACGCTGACCCGAGTTACGCAACTTTACGTCTCCATCGACGCTAGCAACCGTGAAAGCCTGCGCAAGATCGATCGGCCGCTGCACCGTGACTTTTGGGAGCGGTTCCAGCGCTGTCTGGACATTCTCCGAGAAAAGCGATATGCCCAACGCACGGTGTTCCGACTGACCTTGGTCAAGGGATTCAACGTGGATGACGAAGTGATAGGGTACGCCAACCTAGTTGAAAAGGCCCTGCCATGTTTCGTCGAGGTCAAGGGTGTCACGTTCTGTGGAACCAGCACAAGCGCCGGTGCCGGTCTGACCATGCAGAATGTCCCATTCTATGAAGAAGTCTCGACCTTTGTTGTTGCACTGAACGCGGAGCTGGAGCGCCGTGGTCTGCACTACGGGATTGCAGCCGAGCACGCGCACAGCTGCTGCGCACTGATTGCCTCGAACCGCTTCCATGTCGACGGGAAATGGCACACTCGGATCAACTACGAACGCTTCTTCGAGCTTCTGGAGAAGGAGAAGGCGGATGGCATCTCTTTCACTCCGGAGGATTACATGCGCGAGACGGAAGAGTGGGCGTACTGGGGCAAAGGCGGGTTCGATCCGAACGATCAGCGCGTCTACACAAAGGGCAAGAACAAGAACAAGCACAAGGCTATTGAGGCGGCATCCACGTCCTGAAGCGCGGAGTGAGGTACCCAGTGCGCTCATCCCCAGCCCGAGATACATGTCTCGGACGACTCTTCAACCACATCGGTCTGCATCCCATAGGCAAACGAGACCAAATCATGGCTCCCTATGGTGATAGTTCCGGGTCAGCCCCGGACGATTTCGCTGTGGTGTAAAAAGCAATTGAATATATACAGTATCAAGATCACCTAGAACCCGCCCTGTGTAGCTTCATTCCTCACTTGCTGCCAGCCCACTATGCGGTGCTGACTCAGCATGAGGGTCATCCCGCTTGATTTGTTGCGGCCCGAACTGGACAGCATCCTTCAACACCCATCCATTCCAAGCCCGGTCTTGCCAAATTGCAGCTATTGATTCCTTTTTGGTTCAGGCGCTTCAAGTGACCCGCAACCGACCGAACCATCTCCTGCGTCTTTATGGCCCAGCCCGCCGCCGGGAAGCCCACGGCCGGACTGCTACAGATCCCCGCGGCGGCCACCCAGAAATCGGCCTCGCCTGCTCCGGCGAAGAAAGCGCCCAAGCCCCCCACACCACGTCTGAAGCTCGTGATCAGACGTTTGCCTCCGGGACTGACCCAATCCGAGCTAGAGAGTGCTCTGGGAGAGGAATGGACGGTTGGGGGTGGAAAAGTGGACTGGCTCCAGTACAAGCCGGGCAAAGTGTCCAAAGAGTATGGCCAATCGTCCTGATATTATCGCTGCGGAATTGAATCTGATGTCTATATAGTCCCGCCAAACCATCCCGTCCCGCTAGAGCATACGTGCATGTCGTGTCGAGCGAGTGCATTACACCCTTCTCGGATACAGTGCGCCAGACATCCTTCCAAGATGCTCGCCAAACATCCCACGACCCTGTACTGCTTGGACCTCCCACATTGGAGTTTGCACCCTACGCCAAGACTCCCGGGAGCCGCGTGCGCAAGGATGCTCGCCAGGGCACGATTGACCAAGACTCGGACTTCATTGCGTTCCTGGAGAGTCTGACCCAGCCGATCGCGAAATCGGCTCCCGTAGACACCGTGGATGGGGAAGAGAAAAAGAAAGATACGGTGACAACTACGCCTCTGGTACAATTCATCAAGGACAAGAAGGCCTCCAAGGGAAAAGACGGGTCTGGAAAATCCTCCAAGCGTGCCGACAAGGAAGCAAAACTGGAGAAGGTGCACGCGAAAAAGCTGTTACAACGGGCAGACAAGGACACGGCATCTACAGCCCCAGAGAAGAAGGCTAAAGGCGAGAAGGCAGCCAAGGAAGCTGGGAAAGCGGCCAAGCTCGCTGCCGCCGGAGGTGCGAAGTCCAACAAGTCTGGTGCAACTGCGACAAAAGAGGGCGCCAGTGCATCAGAGCGAAAGAGAGAGCGTGGGAATGTCGCTGCTGCCGCTAAGATCCTCCAACGCGACTTGGGGCTTTCGCCAGCAGGGGCCCGGCGACGCGCAAAAGCTGAATGCGAATCCAGTCCATCCGGAGACGGATCGAAGAACGAGATTCCTCCCAAATCCGTCAAAGGCGGTTCTACAAAGGCCAAGGAGGGAGGGTCGCCATCCTCACGCGGAACGCCCGATACCGCCACGCCGAATACGAGTACTCCTCCACCCACGAAACCGTCCAAAGCCGCCAAAAACAAGCCGGCCGCCAGTCCGACCCCCACCGCCACCCAGGCGTTCCTGAAACATGCGAATCCGTCGCAGGGAGTCACTGAGTCGCTGCTAGAGGAGGCTTTTAGCCTGTTTGGGGCCGTTGCGAAGGTGGAGATTGACAAGAAGAAAGGATTTGGGTACGTGGACTTTGCAGAGCCGGCCGGCCTGCAGCAGGCTATGGCCGCCAGTCCCGTGTCTGTCGCGCAGAGCCAAGTGGTAGTGCTGGAGCGCAAGGCCAATCCGAGTGAGAAAGCGCGGAAGGCTAACCCACCGGCCGGAGGGAATAAAGCGAAGACGGGGAATGCAGAGGGCAACGGGGGAGCATCATCCAGGGGCTCGCGTGGTGGTCGGGGAGGTCGAAACAAAGGATCCAAAGGAGGACCGGGTAGCGAGAGACCGAGTGAGAAGATGAGCGAGACTTGAATAATGCGTGTAGGGAGCCAAAACACTCACTGGCTTGATACCCACTAAATCATGGTTAATGCCAAGATACGCTCAATCGGAACACGCGACGCCCTGTCCGTGACAAGTTCAAAGTATATATCTCTCGACTGTTCTCCGACCAGAGACTCATTCTTGTCCACCACAGTCCCCGTCAAAGGAGACCCTGAGACAATGGCACCGTCCTTCTCCGAGATCAAGATCTTTGCCAACCGTGATCTTCTGGAGCAGCCCTTTCTCCCCGAACTGCGGGCGGTCATCAACGCCAGCTACCGCAACCACGAGATCGACCCGATCGGCAAAATCAGAGATCGACTGCAGACCGATACGCAAATTGCAAACGAGGTGGGGGAAGGTGGTTTTACCGCCCTTGCCTTGGCGCGAGATGAAATCGTCGGCACGGCGAGCGTGAAAAAATGGGATCCAGAGGGCTTTGTTTGGAAATCGCCGAGACGCTATACGGGAAGAAGTGCCGAGGAGCTTCGGGCGCTGCCAGCCGCCGGCAGAGAGAGCGGTCATTCTGCTACGGATACTGTGCCTTGCGACGGAGATTTCGAGGTTTTAATCGTTGCTGTCAAACCCGGTGAAAGGTACCGCAAAAGGGGGATTGCAGAGAGTCTGGTCAAGGCCTGTGAGGAGGAACTCCAGAGGAGATATACCCCAGAACCGAACGGGTCGTCGCATTTGCGCGTGATGGTCAAGGTCGTCCCGGAGATCAATGGACGCTACTGGTTGAAGAAAGGGTTTCGGGTTGTAGGAGAAGCATACTGTCCACCTTTTACATGGGATTTGGCCGACGCGTTTATTCTCTGGGCCATGAGGAGGGAGTTGCAAGTAGGGGATCCATGTGAGCAAATACTTTCTTCAAACTGAAAATTGTTTCAAATTGGACCATCTATCAATGAAAACAAACAAAAAATGAAAAAATCAACACCTTTCAGACCTCCTCGACGCCCACCAGGACCGGCCGACCGAAGTCCGACACCATGACCAGGTCAAGATCATCACCACTCCCTGGACAACCACGCGGTGACGCAGACACCGCCGAAGCAGCACGCGTGACACACGGGTCGTCGAGGCGGGAGTCCAAACGGTTTCACTTTAGGGCATCGAGGACATGGCAGTCATCAGCAAGGGTGGAGATTCTGTGGCTCTTTTAAAGAGCTTAGAAGAGGACGTCTACTCTAAAGTGATTCTTTGAACTGTGAGGTGGTCAGTAAATGTTGCAACCGGAACAGTAGGGGGGAGGGAGACGCACGTAGAGTCGCTTGAAAAAAGAAGAAAATTTCGGGGGCCGCGCGGGCTATTTATGCGGTCGCTGGGAGGGCGCTAGCGTAAGCGAGAGCTGGGTGTTTGCATAGTTTGACGGGCCGGTGAGGCCAATCGGGGACGGATGGGTGGGGATCCCGAGAAGAGTTTTCTACGGTAGTACACCGGAGTGATCACTAGTAGTTGCTATAGGATAGGAGCGACGGTGGATGTGGTCCGTCTTGCATTAATACAGTCGGATGGTTACCCCATTTTGATCATGTCCGCCGCCTTCTCTGCGACGGCGAAAACAGTAGCTTGGATATTTCCTCGAGGGACCAGTGGAAAGATACTGGCATCCACCACTCTCACATTGGTCGTTCCATAGACCTTGAGATGAGAATCCACGACTCCGCCGTCCTCCCGACGCATCATGGCGCAAGTCCCACTGAGGTGGTACATGGACAAAACAAGTTCTTTGCATAGCTCCTTGGCTTGTTCCAAATCGGTCAACGGCTCCGGCGTGTGCAGTCGCTCCCCTCCTTGTTTAAATTATTAACTTTTTCATTGTTATCAGAATTACTACAAATAACGATGACACGGTGAATGGGAGGCCAGAAAAAGCCGCTTTTGTCACCGTTTTAGGCCGCTCGCTCACCATGGCCGGTCTTGGCGTCACGTGTGCCAAAGCCCACCTGGGATACCGTCGCAAGAATTCTGAAGGCTTAGATGTTCACTATGCAGGCTTGACGCTTTCCAATTTCATGTTGCTTGACTGTCATTTTCTTTCTTGACTTAGCCATGCCCAGTTATACATACGGGACACAACTCTACTTCATCAGGACAAAGAAAGACACCAACAATCAAAGTTCGAACTATTCATTCAAGGAGAGACCAGTGGTATTTCTCTGTATGGGCTATCTGCAGCTCGTCAAATGTAAGAGAGGCATTCGACGCATCGAGGGCAGATCGACGTGCAATAGGAAAGGCATCAACAAGGGTCAAGGACTCATTTATATGTCGAAATCACGAATCACGAGCAATTCCGCCGCGCCAGTTAGTTTTGTCCAAGTATATGCCTGGTAGAGGTTAGTAATCAGCCATTTGCCGTTGACACATCGAAGTGTAGGAGTCCCTACCCAGGGAAAAATATTCATATGTATCTGCGTTCTTCTTAGATTTCATTGGATTTCGAGATAAAAGAAGGCACTTGATGAGCCCGTACGCGTAATCTTGAGCTACAGAATTAATTAGCATCAGCTTTCAGGGAGGAAGGCAAGGAAACAAACTCGACAACTTCGCATGCGTGATCTCGTGTAGCAGAATTGAACCAGTAGACTCCATGTCAGCGAGACTTGTACCAGCAGGTTGTTTCACATCTTTAACATGGTCTAGACTCGCTCTTTTCTGGAATGCCTCGGGGCATAGGATTATATGGGAACCCCCGGGGATAGACGCGCCACCCACGCCGCTAGGGCAATAGTGTTCCCGCTTAGTACCCGGAATATAAAGAACCGGCGCGTTTTCAGGGCCTCGTGTTGCATACCACATACCTAAGGGTATTCAGAACTTGTCAGTGGCTATTGCGAGCAAAATGTTCCCGAATAAGAACGTGTGTATACTATATGAGGACAACAAAGAGAGAGGAGGGAAGAGAAGACAAAGTGATCACATGATTGTGACACCGTAAACCTTCTCCTAGACCGTGATAGTAGTGATTATGATTTTCAACTTGTCATCTTACCTCCACCTGGAATTTCTTCTCCCTCACGCTCACATTCCACATATGTTGTGGTCCATTCAAAGGCAGATCCATCGCAGTAAAGCGAATATGGGATTTTGCTTCCATCTACACCAAGACCTTTCAGATCTTTGTATCTGTCTGTTTCTTTATTAGCATGTGCATTCCGATTGTAAGCATAGTCAACAACGTACTCTTGATAACAAGGCCCTGCGGATCCGTTGTCCCAAATAAACTTCCGAGCAGTCGTGATGTGCGCTCAGTGATACCTTCCCCTAGGGCATTGTATGCTGCCTCCGTCAATTTCAGGTAGTCTTCACCGGCCAAATTCAACCTAGGAATTTTGTCATGGCAACTTTCATCGATCCAAGCCCACTGAGATTGAGCGTCAAAGGCTAATGAAATGGTGAAAAGGAATGGCAGAACACTAAGCGGCCGCATGGTTGCGATTATTGCCGTATTGGTATGAAATAGAACAGTGAAGGGCCAAGGGGAAAAGAAGTTTCTTTGGATTCTAGGAGACAGCCAGAGGTCTGCCAACCTTGAGTATATACCTAAGTAATCTATTAGGAAGTAGTCTAAAGGGGGGCCATGTGATAAAATGGAGCCATCCCCCGGGCCATGGGATACAAGGGGGCCATATGGATAGAAAGGGGGCCATATGGATAGAAAGGGGGCCATATGGATAGAAAGGGGGCCATATGGATAGAAAGGGGGCTATATGGATAGAAAATATTCTCTACATCCACCCTGACCAACTTTTTAACCTTGTCCGTACATCCCTGAATACCTAACTCCTTCATCCAACAACATAAGTAGTTGCCAATATTCCTTCCCCCCCTCTCCCCCCCACCCACCCCCAAACAACCCTCTTTCTCCAAAACGGGTCATTAGTCTTTTGTTGTATAGCAGTGCTTTCTGAAAAACAATGACTTCTTCTACCTCCATGATCATTCTGCAGGCGCCGTTAACATACACGCCTGCGGCTTCTTGGGATGAATATTTGCAGTTTTTATGCATACAGCCTGGGTGCATAAGAGCCTGGCGTGGTCAGTGTGTGGAAAACCCAGAGGAGGTGCACATTTTCGTTGGTAAAATTTCCCCATGCCGGCATGTCAAAACTACGATCTTCTCTGTTAACTAGGGCCACAGAATGGGAACAGGGTCAAAACGCGGAACAGTTCATCTCGTCTATCTACCCTCAATGGATCAGTGACCTTGAAAGCCGGATAGGGGCGCGACCAAGATCTGCACCCTTTACGATGGAGCTTCTTCCCTCAATGATTGGAGCTTGCGAACCTGCCCCAGATGGTATATGCTCGGTATATCTGGTCTCGTTTGACGCTTCTCTGACTCCTGCACAAGAGAGGATCCTTCTCTCAGATTTGGAAATTTTGAGACAGCTCTTGCACAAGTCCGAGAACTACATCGGCATGACGAAGGGATGGATCATTCCTCCGCTCCAACAGTTTCGCGATCGGGGTGCTTCGAGAACATTGATACTTATCATGGGCTGGAGTGATATCGAAAGTGAAGAGCGGTATGAGAAAAGTGCAACAATTACTGCGGGTGCAGAGAGCAATAAGATGCTATCTCTCCATGGCCGTCTATTTCAACCGCTTCTTGAGGCTGCAAAGCCGGGTTGGTCTAGAACTCATCTTCTTTTGCACTTATATATCCCAAGCTGAATACAGTTAAGCTGAATACAGTTAAGCTGAATACAGTTAAGCTGAATACAGCTATATCAACCAAGTCCATAAAATTAGTGGTAGTAGTAGTCTCCCTCAGGCTGTTCACGACCTTAGGGCATAGCTGGACTAACGCCTCATGTTCATTTCGTGCCGCTAACGATAGTAGTGATTCATCGGATTCAGATAGAGATTGGATATGAGCTCTTGAATCTAGCGATTTCTGGGCTATCGCTTCTTGCCCATGTTTTGCAGCCCATAATAATGCCAAACTTCTGATTTGTTATTGTACATCGGAAAGATACAGATAGGGATTTATGAGATTGTAAGGCAGGTATTTGTTCGAGCAAGAACCTTTATATGCTCTGCGGCTTCCAGGTCCCCTGTGATGCGCTACAGCAGTTCATTTGGTAAGCGAAGCAGCATCTCAAAGGTTTTCGCTTCACGGTAAATGAGCTGAGGTAAAACCTCAGGTGTACGAGAGGTAGGTAGTAAGTGTATAGCAGTTTCGCGTAAAATACGCATTCAAGGTCACTGTAAAATATAAGGTCTATTCTGAGAAGCGGAGGGGCCATGACCATACCACATTTAGATTAGTGTGTTTCAGGATAGGGTTCGGGAATTAATTCGTGAGGGTAATCGTCCCCTAAAGTCAGACCCTCACCGCCATGGGTCCTCCCAGTCTAATGATAAATTTTCTTCCACCCACCAAGTTCTTCATATTATTACCTACGACCACCATGCCCAAAAAAATCCGATGAAAGCGAGGATCGCATCTAGGAGGCTTTGCAAGACTACCATAATCGTGAGAAGCCTAAAATCGCAGCGGTCGCGCGGGAATTTGGCGTTGATTACCAACGACTTGTACGACGCGTTCATGGTCACACATCTCGTTCGGCGCGCTAGGGACCCAACAAATGCCTCGATAAATCTCAATAGCAAGCATTGATTAGCTAGATAGACCTACTTTATCGTACAAATCTTCCGCCAACTCTAGCAGAGGTTGAGGGTACAGCAAATGAAATTCTAGAGCGAAGTTGTTCTACGCGACGCGTTAGAAACAATTGGGCCTATAGATTTCTAAAACGCCACCCCAATGACTACTCCACAAACTAATGTGACGGTAAGCAGGCGGCCCTATTAGGAGCCTTGCTAACCAACGTCCGTCTTGGCGTCACGTGAATTAATTACCACGGCCGTCGGCTTAACCTCCACGCCAGCCCGCAATTTTCGGTCCCTGACGCTAGTCCAACTGATTGGTCTGTGTTCCTCTTCATATACTTCGAAGTTCACATCGCGGAGGGGAGCCAAAAATGGCTCGCCACTGGACTATTATGTCTTCCCCAATAGCAGACTGTACTATTTCGTCTAGTGTCTGAACCCTCGGTGTAGGGACGCAACGGCTCTATCGATTAAAATTTCAGTGACTTTCATTTCTTTTAAAGAGGGAGAGTGTACCAATTCTGCTGGACAGGGAGGCCAATTATCTGTTGGTATCGAATTAAATAGATATATTTGACCGTCTTTTTTGGTTCGTTGAATGACGAAAATGTCCGATTGGAAGTCAATGCTGTATTTCGCCGCCATTTTAAATATCGTTTTCTGCGTCTTCGCCTCTGTTGCGCCTCTACGCGACGTAGTCGATTTCTTTGCATTCAAGTAAAGTCTGTATAGAATTATAGAGAGCTAGCACTATTAGGTGATAGCCTAACAGTTCTTTCATTATTTCAGCGTTTTATAACATATAGAGCATTTACCATTTGCAGTCAATGTTAAACAAAAATTACAAATCCCCGCTGGTTGAACTGGTCTAATTTTGTCTTGCCAAGCTCTGCCCATATGTTTGGTCAAGTAGCAAGTCCTCATTTTCAACAAATGTTTTCTTCGAAGGGTACATTTGAGTTTGACTGGAGTAAACTTTGTAGAGACGAGTAATGTGATGGCTAATTAAATTTTGAGCTAGGAATTATGAGATTGCCGCAACGCTAGAGTGAACTGGCTACATAAGGCCAAGGATTTTCCATGCAATGATCATGTTGAACATCTCTTTCAGAATAGTGGTGAACGGAAGACTTCCTCAAGTAATTCATATCTCTATATGCATTACAGGGTGCATAAATATTCGTCTACGGCAGGCATTATTCAGTTGAACTGCCAGCTGCTCTCTTTCCATTGTTCGATGCTACCCACTTTTTCAAAGCGTTTGGGTATACTTAGCAGGCACCAAAAGATATCTTTGGCACCTACTTGTCATTCAACATCTATTTATATCTACCACAGTTGACCAATCCGTCCCAGTTTAACTCGTAGGTGGTCAACCGCTTAAACATTAAAATACAACCAAAAAATAATAAACCAAAACAAAATCAATAGTAACATCCGGAGCGACCCATTAAAATATGTGCATTTGTAGGCTAACAATACAACGTTGAACACGGGCAGAGGAGGATGAAGAATGACCGAGTTGAACATTCTATCCGTTACGTTTGGAGAAAAGCGGGGTCTAACCTCAAATTCCTAATCAATTTTCTGCCCGAATAGTTGTCGTGGTCGATTCGGAGCAGATTTCGCTGGTCCTAATGTGCTCCCGGAGTGCTCTAGTAGTGCTCTAGGATTATTCCTTGAGTCTGGTAAGAGCCCTGGCCTTCTCTTAGAGTACTCATAGTAGGCTCAGTCTAAAGGTCTAGAGCATGGATAAGTTTTGAATATCATCGCCTCAGCACTTAAAGGTAATAAGTGCAGTTTGGTGCTGGATGATGTCCTTCAGATTGTCGATGAGTTTCCACACTTCCCTAGTGGTGACCCGGCCTGTCCCTTCGGAGGGCGTATAGATTTCGCCATTTCGCGTTCTTTTTCCTATAATCGGAGCCGGGGCGATCTTTAGTCGGGGCTGGAAGTCTTCCATTGAAAAGCTGGCGCTGGTTTCTTGGGTGTTTGTGGGAGGGGTCTTGGGGCCCCGGCGGGTAGGTCCGCCATCGGTCCGGGCTTAGCTCCCGCTCGTACACAATCACAACAATTTAATAGCGCGGGTAATATCAACGAGCATCCCTTTCTCTCCGATTCGATTTCAGTCCGATCTTGAGTGTCCGGGACGTTTCCCACGGATTACAGAACGTCTCGAAACTCTCGATTTCCATCGGTTATCTTACAGAACGCCTCGAAACTGGTGTCACCATTTGCACTACCCGCCCCCTAGTAATTAGTCGGGCCCTCACCGCTCTCGCTGGTTTCTGGAACCTTAATTGCCAAGAATCACTAATCTGCATCAAGAATAGATCCGGAATAGCTATATTCCTGTATTGTTTTTTATATGTATCTTACTGAATACATTACGTGTCTCATGTTTGGTAACTGTACGCCGTATCCACTTGGACTTGGCTTAGCGTGCTCTACTCTCGGTGCATTGCTGCCTTGGAAGTGCAGCGGAAGGGCGCTAAAAGGCCTGGGAAAAGTGAGAACCTTCAGCTGTAGAGCATAGCCACGAGTAGTGCATCTCGATCTTCTTCCCAAGTGCGACTCCGGTCTGCTGCCACCCACACTTTGTTTACATTCGTTGCTTTCCGGCTATGCTTGCAATGCCCAGCGATCAAATCCGGCTCCTTGCTCTCGATGGCGGCGGTGTCCGTGGCCTGTCATCGCTCATGATACTTCAGCAACTCATGGTCACCGTTGACCCGGAGTCACCGCCCAAGCCTTGCGACTACTTCGATATGATCGGCGGCACCAGTACTGGCGGTTTGATTGCCATCATGTTAGGCCGCCTCCATATGACCGTCGACGAGTGCATCGATGCATACACTTGCCTTTCTAATAAAGTGTTCGAGAAGAAGAAGCATCGGGTCACCATGAAAGGGCAAATCCAGGGCAGATTTGATACGGCTAAGCTCGAGCGGGCGGTTAAGCAGATCTTAAGCGATCGTAGCTTTGACCCAGACACATTATTGAAGGATTCTCCAAATGCTCCCTGCAAAGTGTTTGTGCTCTTCAACCGTTTGGTCGAGGCATGCTAATCAGTCAGTTTTGTCTGTGCGACGAGCAAGCAAACTACCAATACCGTTTGCCTAACGAGCTACCGATCGCCCCGCGGCGGCACCCATCTACTCAATTCCACCAAAATATGGCAAGCCTGTCGTGCCACATCCGCTGCTACATCCTTCTTCGACCCTATTACAATAGGACCCTTCGAGGAAGAATTTGTCGACGGTGCACTAGGAGAGAACAACCCCGTCTACGCGCTTTGGAACCAAGCCCAGGATGTATGGGGAGACCAGCCATGGGGCAAAATCCAGTGTCTAGTGTCGATCGGCACCGGAATTCCTACGCTAAAGCCGGTGCGAGACGAGATTTTAGGAATCTGGTCTACACTAAAAGAGCTTGCAACCGAGACGGAAAAGACAGCAGAGCAGTTCCGTCGCGACAAGTCGAGCCTTGATGAGCAGGGTCGTTATTATCGCTTCAACGTTGACCACGGGCTAGAACACGTTGGGCTAGAGGAGTCAAAGAAGAAGAAGGAGATCGCAGCGGCGACGAGCCGGTACATTGCATCACAGGCTATATTCAAGCAGATGAAGGCGTGCGCGAACAACCTAGCAGGACAAGAATGTTAGTGAGGCTCCGTTTAATTTCCAGTCTCTTTCTAAATAAATATCCTAGCCTTTTCAATTTGCTGATATTGTGTGGCTAGATCGTGGTCCCTATAGAACGGTTTTTACTCTGCAGGGCATGCCTGCATCAGATAGATTTGTCGAAAGACTATCTGACACCGCCGAACTAGAAGGCTGCCTTCTCCCACGAGGTCTCTCCCGACAAACACGGCGACGGATATTTGTCCTCTACGGGCTTGGCGGTATTGGGAAAACCCAGTTAGCGGCCGATTTTGCTCGACGCCATCAGGCCTTGTTTAGTTCTATTTTCTGGCTGGACGGCAGGTCGGAGGGCCAGCTGAGACGGAGCATCGCCGGCTACGCACATAGGATTCCCCAGGGCCAGATTCCAGATCGGAGCAGGAACTTTGTTACCGATAGTGCGGATAGTCTCAACATCGCGGTATCGGATGTTTTAGACTGGCTTGGTCGGCCAGACAACAGGCACTGGCTTCTCATCTTTGATAATGTCGATCAAGACTACGAACACGATGGCGCAACGGGCGCTTACGATATTCGGCACTATCTGCCCGGCGACCACGGGTCAGTACTAATCACAACAAGATTAGCGTGGCTGGCGCAACTCGGTGGTTCGAAACGGTTGACAAAAGTGGACGAAGAACTAGGTAAAACTATTTTCGAACAGTGGTATGGGCGAGAATTAGGTGAGGCTTTCACTATACACGAGTTCGCCTTAAAGCTAATAAATGGTAGTCATAGATAAGACAGGCCGAGAGCTACTCTCTTTGCTAGATGGCCTCCCACTCGCGTTAGCACAGGCTGCCTCGTACCTCCGCGAGACCGAACTAGATACCTCCTCGTACGTTCGATTATATAAGCAGCAGTGGGATGACTTGATTAGATCCGACGATGAGTACGGCACGTCACTAATAGATTACCAACGAAGCATCGGGACGACTTGGATGATATCATTCAAAATGATTGAGGGCGAAAGCAAGAACGCCGCAAATCTTCTCCGGCTCTGGGCCTTTCTTGACAACAAAGACCTATGGTATGGCCTACTACATGCGGTTACAGACGGCCAAGAACAGTGGCCTAAGTGGCTTAGCGAGATTGCATCTGATGAGATCAACTTCTTGCGTGCTGCGAGATTACTACGCCGCTACTCGATGATTGAGTCTCAGGAGGCCGTGCTAGGAAGTTATGAACTACACCCTGTAGTGCACAGATGGGCATCATATATACAAAATAGCACCGTGAAGAGAGAGTTTCTACAACTTGCGGCAGTAATAGTCGGGTTATCAGTGCCCAGAAGTTCGACCAGAGGTTATTGGATACTTCAAAACCGGCTCCTCCCGCATGCAGAGACGTGCTTATTGTGGATACAGAATATTTGCGAGGCTGGATGGATTACCGAGGATATTAGGTTTACGCACTCAATTCACGAATTTGGTCGTCTCTACTATGACCAGGGCAAGCTGGCGGAGGTAGAGGAGATATACCAGCGAGCACTTGCAGGCTATGAGAAGATACTTGGTCCAGATCACACGTCGACCCTTGGTACAGTCAACAACCTTGGGGCTCTCTACCGTGACCAGGGCAAGCTGGCGGAGGCGGAGGAGATGTACGAGCGTGCACTAGCAGGATATAAGAAGGCACTCGATCCAGAGCACACGGACACCCTCGGAGCAGTTAACAACCTTGGGAATCTCTACCGTGACCAGGGCAAGCTGGCGGAGGCGGAGGAGATGTACCAGCGAGCACTGGCAGGCTATGAGAAGACACTCAGCCTAGAGCACGCGGACACCCTCGGTACAGTCAACAACCTTGGGAACCTCTACTCTGACCAGGGCAAGCTGGCGGAGGCGGAGGAGATGTACGAGCGAGCACTTGCAGGCTATGAGAAGGCGCTCGGTCCGGAGCACACGGCCACCCTCACTGCAGTCAACAACCTCGGTCTTCTCTACTGTCGCCAGGGCAAGCTGGCGGATGCGGAGGAGATGTACCAGCGAGTACTAGCAGGCCGTGAGAAGATACTTAGTCCAGAGCACACGGACACCCTCGGTACAGTCAACAACCTTGGGATTCTCTACTGTGGCCAGGGCAAGCTGGCGGAGGCGGAGGAGATGTACCAGCGAGCACTTGCAGGCTATGAGAAGGCGCTCGGTCCGGAGCACAAGTCAACCCTCACTATAGTCAACAACCTAGGGGGTCTCTACCGTGGCCAGGGCAAGCTGGCGGAGGCGGAGGAGATGTACCAGCGAGCGCTGGCAGGTTACCAGAACACTCTCGGGCAGAGCGATCACCTGACCCAACGAGCCGCAACTCGATTAAGTGCATTAGTTCAATCTCAGAAGCCTCGCACACGAAAGTTATCTAGGCTTCTCTTCAGGAAATAACCACTAATATTTATAGAGAACACTTCAGGACATAGAGGGTCACTGAGGGAAGACAGTTCGACGAACTTACAATAGCATGATTCATTGATTGTCACTGATCTTCTGTCGTCCTTTGGCAAGAATGCTGATTTTCAAGGTGGGTGGGTTATTGAGATGTCTGTTGTGTTAACTATACGAAGAATATACTGTCCGATAAAATGTCCACTAGTATTTCATTAGTTGGTCCTGATTGACCAAGTGGATCTTTGATTGGCCACTCATCACCTGACGCGAGATTTGGGAATGTGGTCCAAATCAACAAGATAGAAGATGTCTGACATTCTGAATATAATCGAGCTATCTCTTTAACAGTACAGAACGCATAGTAAGCGAAATGAGCGCACAATGCCAAGAAGGTCAAAAAACAAAAGTAGTTTAGCGTTGCATAACTTTTATGGATCCTGTACCACCTCGAATTGCTTCCTATGTGCTCGAGGAGTGGTTGGATTGTCGATAGAAGCTTGGAGATTTCGAAGCAGCTGTTCACGCTCTCCCTCGGGAGAGTTCACATAGGGCATGAATGCGGAGGCAAAGGGAACCATGGCCAAGGGGCCAGAGCCATCATTCTGATAAGCAGCCATTGCAGCGGCCGCGATGGTAGGATCCCTGGCCATATTACCCGACGGAAGTCCATCCACAACCTCGTATCCAAAAGCAACATTGCCATGGTCTTGCAAGTTCTCCCTAACGCTCGGATTATTGATAACCGGGGCAATCCCGTAGGACTGAAGGATCTTTTCATCTCCAATACCGGACAGCTCTAGAATCTGAGGCGTCTGCGTTGCCCCTACGGCAAGAATGACCTCTTTGTTGGCTGTCATAGTGAATGTCTTCTAGTCTTTCAGAAATTGAACGCCAGTGCCGACGACCCCGATATCTCGTCTCTCCAGCGCAATGCTCTGCACCAAAGCCCCTGTCACAACCCGTAGATTTGCTCGAGCCTAGGCTTCCGGCCCCAGATAAGCAGCTCCAGCAAGGCTTCTAGTGTGGGTCGCTGAATCCACTGCAGCCGGAGACACAAAAGGTCCAGTCCTAGCACCGTTGATAGGATCATCGACCTATGGATATCCCAATGTTTTGAATGTCTCCATCCACGCAGCGTGATACGGCATATACTGGTCTCCAAACGACACCTACGCAGGCCCGTTGCTACCTTGATCCTTCTGATCATACTTCATCCCCTTGAAAAATTCACGGTTTACATCCGACGGTGGGGTGGCTGTATGAAATTTGCGAAGATAACGAGAGAGGCCATCCCAACCCCAGCCGTGGTTTCCCAACGCTTCCCAGGCATTCAATCCGGAATGGGAAGGGTAGATAACCATACCAAAATTGATAGCCGAGGAGCCTCCGAGAGTGCGGCCTGTGCTTGCTGAGAGTTTGCGACCGTTGAGTTGTTCCTACCCTCCGGAGACTGTGATCAGCCTAATTGATATGGTGATTTTGTGCTTTTGGCAATTGATGAATTGGACAACGCACCTGCGCAATTGATTGAAAGTTCCAATCGAAGTATGCATCCTCAAGCATTGCCATCGCTAATCCGGTATCATGATTCGAGGATCATTGAGACGGTTGGTCCCTGCTTCCAGGACAATGACGCTAACATTAGGTTCTTCCGTAAGTCTGTTGGCCGCCACCAGGCCCGCAGTTCCTCCGCCGACAATGACAAAGTCAAACGGCTTGTTCTCGAGTCCTTCAACGGACTCTGTGTCCAATGGCGCCATGACTTGGATATTTGGGTGCTTCGTTTCTTGTCCACGTTCGGTAGAGGAGAAGAATTCGGAAGGTGATGGGAGAATTGAGGGATGCAGAATGCAGGGCCACCACTGAATCACTCTATATCCGTTACCTGCCGGTGGTTTGATTCACCCTTGAGGACAAGACTAGAAACGCTGCTCCGTTAGTGGCTGCATAAGCGACCCACGGCGTGATACTGGAGTGGAAATGGATCCGGCAAGCCGGCGACTGGGCTGGAATTGGTACACGTGAATGATTTATACTTCATAACTCTTATTTTTTGGTGTCGGCGTCGTTCTCCGCGAACTTCACCTCCCAAGCTCCACAGCTGCAGGGATCTAGCGTATCTATATTAATGATTGAACGCTGACTACACTTCGCCACGTTAGTCCTTTATGACGTGGTGGACTTTTCCCTTTTGCGTCTGATACGGGCAACGATGTTACACTATTAAAAACTCCCGGAAATATATATCCACGACCACACTTGCATGATACCGGTTGGATGATTCTCCAATCACACGACTCACACGATAGACCCTGTTCTCCGATCATTATGTACAGATTGAATTAATTCACTACTAACGACGACCGTTACCCTTCACTACTATGGATATTTGGTCATGCCTCCCCCGGGTGTTCGGCCCGAACACCTTTCTTATCTCTTATCGCACTGCGGAGTCTAACTCCCGGAGTGTGGAGGAGGTCCTTCTTTCTATCAACATGATTACTACCTTGCGGTAGAAACCAAACATGCCGCGCCCCAAAGTCCTTCCTGCGAATCGACTAAGGGCCAACACGGCCTGTACGGCCTGTCGCGCCTCCAAGAAGCGCTGCAGCGGCACTTTTCCTTGCTCCAACTGCCTCCACAAGGGACGCGGCCGTACCTGCATTCCGTTCAGGGCCGTGTCGGATACAGGACAGCGCAACCGCCCGACTCCCGTGCGATCGGTAGTAGACTCGGGTCCGACATGGGACGACGCAGCAGGCACAGTCGGCATCCAGAGCCCGACCGGCTCTCACGACACCAGCCGATTCCCTTATCCAGATCCCCAAGCCCTCGAGGCGGGTTCCCGATCCCCGGAGGCCACTCACCAGACTCATCCGCGCATGCTACGGAACTTGCAAGGCGAACGAGGTCGGAGGTTCCCCCCGTGACAAGGTGGTCATATTGACTGACAACTTGTAGTCTATGTCGGCAAAGCGGCCTCTCTGTCCTTTCTGCAGCTCCTGCGGGAAACCGTCAATCAACACATCGGACCATCCCAGTTCTCTCATAATGTCAAGAGTGAGGACATGCTCGAAACAGAAGCTCAACATGACACGCTGAACTTTGCCGAAGAACGCTGCGACGCGGACGAGAAGCGGTGGTTTATCCAGAACTATCACGCAGCGGTGGGTCTTGGATGCTCTCAATTCGGGTCTTGTACTAATCCGCAATTCAGATAAGTGGCTTTCTTTATTTTGGATGCAATATCGATACAACTCTGTCAGATGCAAACCCGCCCAAAACCGATAGAGAAAAGACCAGAGCGGCTATTGGCGATTTGATGATTGCCATCGGAGCCCAGTCATGTCCTGACGATCCAAGTAGTCTTCAGGCCGAACGGTTCTTTCTTGCCCGTGGCCAGTCTAGGACGTTTGCCAATATGCTGGAGGACCCGAGCATGGATCTGGTTCGGGTGTTTCTTCTCATGTCATTTTACATGCTTGGAGCTTGCCGCCGGAACGCGGCTTTCATGTACTTGGGTGTGGCAGCACGAGCTGCCGTTGCTCTAGGGCTTCACGCTGATCCCTCGGAGACTGTCAGCCGCACCGAGCAGCAGGAACGGTATGGTTTCCCAAATGACACAGGCAGACACGGCTGATTTCCAGGAACAGGTCCCGGGTATGGATGAGCCTGTGTGTTCTTGATCTCCTTGTGAGTTCAATACTTGGCCGCCCATCGGCCACATCGTCTCTATTACCAGAGAATCGCAGAGAAGCTCCTCCGACAGCACCTACACCGACGGAGACTCGACTGATCTCATCTTATCGCCTAGCCTTGATATTGGATGAAATTATAGGTCGTTTGTACAGCGAGAAAGCGGCGTCCATAGAGACAGCCGATATGCTTCTCGCCAAACTAAATCGTTGGAGTACATGCCTACCGGACTCACTGCGGACTACATCTCTCGAAAATGATGACGATGGCTCTACTCAGGAACGTGTTATAGGCAACCTGCATGTGGCATGCTCGTATCACTTTGCCGTCATCCTCGTTACTCGTCCGTTTCTCATATCTGCACTGAGCATCCGGCTGGCCCGGCTGCATCAGAGTTTATCGGCTGGTGTGCCCAGTGAACCGCTGGAGCAGGATCCGGCGCACTCCCGATTGGCATCTGCATGCATCGACTCGGCCGTGTATATGCTACAGACGTGCTTGGAAGTCCATCAATCGGGGCTACTGCTACGGAATATGCGCATTCTCAAGTTGGGGATCCGCCCTGCCTGTTTGACTCACGCTAATATTTGATGCAGGGCTTTCGTCTTCGCCGCAGCCTTGGTTCTGGGGTTCTCAATGTTTTCGCACCGAGAAGTCGACACCGAAATAGACGGCGCCTTCAGCAGCGCCCTCGCCATCTTACGCATGCTGTCCCAGCAGTCCGCCCAAGCAGCACACTACCTCGAAATCCTAACATTGCTAGAAGCAGCCGTAACAGAGCAGCGCCAGCGACTGGCCGCCCAGGCCCGCCAAAGGCGAAGCCACTATGTCAATCGGATATTCAGTCTGAGCGAAAATCCAACTACTCCGCGGGCGTCCGGTGAGGCTGATAGCCAAGCTAATAGCGGTACTCCTCTTCTACTGGCTCAGGGCGGTTCGCTTTATCCATGGACTACTTCGGAGGATAACACGACGCTGACGCCCCCGATAGTGGATGCGTTTCCAGATTGGGAGGGCATGGAGTTACCGCTGTGGGACAGTTTTCCGTTTCTTACTGAGCCGTCTGTGACGCTTTGACTGGTTTTGCTGAAGTGGCAGATGCGCTCGGATGTACATATTTTGGCTTGGCAATAGGCATACTATATTCATGACTGTCCATAATTTCGCCTTTATACAATTAAACAAGATTCATGTCCCTAATCCCTTATCATAGCCAGTCCAGCCGTCGAACAAATCACGGTTTCTTCCGCTGGAGCATATCTGGCGGCTCGTGCAGGGGGTTCGGCCCGCGCACCCCTCCGAACCGACACCCGTGGATAACCTTCGACGTAATCCTCCACTCTGCGTTCATCGACAAACAAACAATGGGAGGTCGGAACCGACACGAAAGAGGGGATTGCCGCAGAGCCAATTTATATTTATAAACGCCAGCACTCCCGCTGTAGTATCAGTAGAGAATCCATTAGCACAAAACATCCGAAACAAAAAATGACCATGACAACAGGCTGGAGACGACTCAACGTCGGCGTGGTCGGTGGCGGCATCGGCGGAATGTCCGTTGCTATTGCCCTACGCCGTGCAGGCCACGCGGTCACCATCTACGAGAAGTCCGATTTTGCGGGCGAGGTGGGCGCATCGGTTTCCTGCGCGGCGAACGGTACTCGGTGGTTGCACGAGTGGGGGGTTGATGTGGCCAAAGGAGATCCCGTCGTGCTCAAGAAGCTCATCAACCGGGATTGGAAGACGGGTGAGCCGGTCAGCGTGTACGACCTGGATGATTATGAGAAGCGGTGGGGATATGTGTACAACATGTTCCATCGGCAGTATATGCATGCCATGCTGAAGGATTCGGCGATGGGCGAGGAAGGACCGGGTACTCCTGCAACTTTGCGGGTGAACCACCGTGTAAGCTGGACATCTGTAATGTTCGATACAAATACTGATGTGGTGCAGTGCAAGGATATCGATCTCCAGACCGGCAAGATCAGCTTCGAAGACGGATCGACAGCGCAACACGACCTTATCGTCGGCGCAGACGGCATCGGGTCTACCGTGCGCCGCATTTTGGGAATTAAGCCAGAGAAGCGGCCCTCAGACTCCAGCTGCCTGCACGCCAACGTGTCAACCGAAGAAGCCGTCAAGGCCGGTCTGGTGGACTACTCGCAGGACAGCGCGCTGGAGTACTGGGGCGGACAAGAAGGCAAATGGGACAAGATCGTGCTATCCCCCTGCAATGGCGGAAAGCTGCTGTCGTACTACTGCTTCTTTCCGCGCGAGCAGGGCGACTATACGAACCAGACATGGGGCGCCGAGTCGCGGCCCGTCGAGGAGCTGCTCCGGCCCTATCCCCAACTGGACCGGCAGGTTTTTGGACATCTGGCAATCGGCAAGGAGATCCAGCCATGGCGTCTGTGGGTGCATGATCCATATCCATATATCCAGCGCAATAATGTCTGTCTGCTCGGCGATGCTGGACACCCGATGATGCCGCATCAAAGCCAGGGTGCTTGTATGGCCATTGAAGATGCTGCGGCGTTGGGCATCCTCTTTAGCCCGCGGTACTTCACCGGGGATATTCCCCAGATGCTGGCTGCGTATCAAGACGTGCGACTCCCGCGGGTCACGAAAGTGCAAGCCGCCGCTGCGAAGGCGGCGTATAATATCAACGAGCGCATTGGTGAGTCAGTCCATTGAAAGACAGAACGAAACTAAACAGTATCCTGTAGGCTTCTCGTTCAACAAAGATATCCCTACCTACAAGGTGGAAGACACGAAGAAAGTGCTGACAATCGAAGAGATGAACGCGTATGCTGGCCCCCTCGCTCAATCAACTCCGCCGTTGCTAATCCTGCCTACTTAGATATGACATGTACAAGGATGTCGAAGAAAAGCTCGCTGCCAAGCTAGGCAGTCCATACACGGACAAATATATTTGCGGCCTGCCCATTGGATTGGAGTTGCCGAATGGGATCATTATCGGCGCGTCCGCATAAGCGACCACAGGCGTGGACGCCGGCTGGGAGAATGTACAGCATAGTGTTCTGAAATTAATTAGCCATTGCTTTTTTCTAACTCCACGTTGATCGCCAATCATCAAATATCATTTACTTATTTTTGTCAAGCTGGAATCGTGTTATACCGAGTCCTCGGGTGGCGATAACCCGAGCGCGGGAGCAATTATCCCGTCGCCCGGTGGGGGAGGGGCAGGGGGTGACAATGAGCAGTGGGCACCGAACTATCGCGACAATGAGGACCGAATACTCGCCCAAGTTTGGAACTAGAGCGTGTACACCGGTACAGAAGGACAGTACAAAATTACTACAGACGAATACAGACACAAAAAATGTGCAATTTGAGACTATGTACACACAAACACTGGACGTCAATAGAGAGTATATTATTTTTATCCATCGTCACAATTTAACCGAAGAGCGCGTCTCCCAGGCGGTAGTGCACCGTCTTGACCTGGGTGTAGTTCTCCAGAGCGTAGGAGCCAAGCTCGCGGCCGAGTCCAGATGTCTTGAAGCCACCGAACGGAGCCTGGTACGAGATCAGGTTGTAGCTGTTGATCCAGACGGTACCGGCCTTGAGGGCGTTGGACACACGGATGGCGGTGTTGACATTCTTGGTGTGCACGGCGGCGGCCAGACCGTAGCTGGTGCTGTTGCCAATCTTGATAGCATCGGCCTCGTCCTTGAACTTCTGGACCGTAATCACGGGACCAAAGATCTCCTCCTGGGCGATCTTCATGTCGTGGGTGACATCGGTGAAGACGGTGGGCTGAATGAAGTAGCCCTCCTTGCCGTGACGGTCTCCACCCAGGGCGACCGTGGCACCCTCGTTCTTGCCGTGGTTGATGTACTCCATGATGCGATCAAACTGGAGCTGCGACACCTGCGGGCCCTGGAAGGTGTCGGCTGCGAAGGGGTCGCCAAGCTTGTTGGCGGCCGCACGCTCCTTGAAGCGGGCCACGAACTTGTCGTAGATGCCCTCCTGAACCAGCAGGCGGGAGCCGGCACAGCAGCATTGGCCGTGGTTGAAGAAAATACCGAAGTTGGCCCACGAGATGGCGTTGTCGATGTCCGCATCATCAAAGACGATGTTGGGCGACTTGCCACCCAGCTCCAGGGTGACCTTCTTCAGGTTGCTCTTGGCGGCGGCCTGCATGATGGAGCGGCCCACCATGGTCGAGCCCGTGAAGGCGATCTTGTCGATATCCATGTGGTTGGAGATGGCGGCACCGGCGGTGCGGCCAAAGCCGGAGAGCATGTTGATGACACCGGGAGGGAAGCCGGCCTCCACGATGAGCTTGCAGGCGTACAGCGCCGACAGAGGGGTCTGCTCGGCGGTCTTCATGACGACGGTGTTACCGGCGGCGACGGCGGGGCCAATCTTCCAGGACCACATGAGGATGGGGAAGTTCCAGGGGATGATCTGACCGCAGACACCAATGGGCTCGTGGCGGGTGTAGGACAGAGTCTCGGAGTTGGTGTCGATGGTCTGGCCGTGAATCTTGTCGGCCCAGCCGCCGTAGTAGCGCAGGCAGGCCGCGGCATTGGTGACATCGACCTTGGCCATGGTCAGGGACTTGCCGTTATCCAGGGACTCGATGGAGGCCAGGGTGTCCATGTGCTGCTCGAACAGGTCGGCCAGCTTGATGAGCTTGCGGCCCCGCTCGGAGGGGGTCACGGTGTGCCAGACACCCTCGAAGGCAGCGCGCGCGGCCTTGACGGCGACGTCGACATCCTTCTCGGTGGCCTCGTGGACGGCGGTGATGACCTTTTCGTTGGAGGGGTTGATGGTCTCGAAGGTCTTGCCCTCGACACCTTTGATAAACTCGTTGTTGATGAACAGGCCCAGAGGCTGCTCGTATTTGCCCGCAGGGGTCTCGATGGTAGCGGAGAGCGACATGATGTAGGATGTGAATTATAGTATGGAGGGAGAAGAAACAGGAGAGGCAGCAGAAGACGGGCGAGTAGTGCTCTGTTTTTATGTTTGGTAATGACAAATGGGCCATGCGGGGTCAACCAACGCCACTTGGCTTCGTCTCTCTCTCGCGGTCTTGTTCCCTTCTGTTTCCTCCTTTCTCGCGCGAGTTCCTTGGGCGGGGCCCTGGACGGTGGGTCTTGCCTTCGGTATGCTTCTTCCATGCTCTTCGATGCTCTTCACGAAACTTGTTCTGGTCGGAAGAACCATCCTCATGGTGGACGAGAATGTCACACCACATCAAACCTTCTGGGATCCTCGGCCGGCGCAATCCCTGCTGCATCAAGCAATCCGTTTGGGCCTCGGGCCAAGGGGAGGGACGGAGGGGTGGGCCAGATACGGGTCATCATGATGCGACCGCTGGCCCGCGGGTCCGCGGGCGAACGGTTGGCCTGGTTGGCCCGACCAGATGCGTTAGTCCTGTGCTGGTTCCAGACTCTAACTCTGCGACGCTGGCCGTGCACCGGTTGTTCGTGTTACGCTTGGCCACGGCATTCGTTCATGGTGAGGGGAAGACGATCACCTGATCGACATTGCTGCCTGAGGCCGAAACTTGCCTGGGTGCCTGGGTGCCTGGGTGCCTTGTATTGGTGCCTTGCCCGGCCTGCCTGAATAATGCCTGAATGCCGTCAGGCACTAAACTCATGCTGGCGCCCACTCGCGGAATCAGAAAAGATCTCTCCTCGTATTACCTCATCGTTATTCTGATCGAGATCAGCCTGGCTCGGACTTATTATGAGTGGGTGCAAGAAGGACGGTACTCACCCCCAGGCCGGCTCACCGCGACCGTTGTTGCCCGCAATCAGAAAGCTCAGCACATAGTTGACCCATATCAACACATCCAAGACTACTCAGCCACGTTCTTCCTAGGACCCATGTTGGTACCTTGCTGGCGATGGTCTGTAGAACTATTATTAGCTGGCACGAGGCTCTTCGGGGCTCTGTCCGCCTGGTCAGGTGACCATCTATAGTTCATCGACGGCGGCCGCGATACCTTCATTCTCGTCTCCTGTGATATGATTCAATTCAATTCATCCTTATCTTTTGTAAAACCCCTTTCGCCTCCCAGTCCTTACTCGGGGAACCCCCTGTTTTCATTATCCGCAGATCTCGAGGTCAACCCATGTGTCGTTACAGTCAGCCAGGCGATCGCATCTGTGCACCACTACTCTACCATCCGTCACCCGAGCTGGGTTATTCGGTTAAGGAAAGCAAAAAAACATCCCGTCCATGACGTGGAAAATTCAGCCTGGGCATTAGGCAACACCCGTAGCTAGTCATGTCAGAGAGCCTCCAATATCGTCCGTGGGTCGGTTGGAGCCTCGTGTGGAGACAACAGCAACTTATTTCCATGATTGTTCCTAATATTGTCTCTGATCGAGGCACATTTCGCCTAGCACCTCCTGGGGAGCGTGTTCTGTGGGGTCCGTGTTGGCGTCACCCCAATAACGGCGTTGCTAGAAGGAACAGCCTCGTGGGCTGTGAACCTGAGTGGCTCCACTACGCTGGAAGGACCCTGACATCAACCACCGCATTGAGTCGAAGATCTTCATCCTCCCCTGTGTTATGTGGGGTTACTGTCTAAGAAAAGAAGTTCTCAAGTGCAATGCCATGGGTGATATGGGGGTCGTGGGGAAAGCCCCCAGTCGGTTCCAAGTCCTAAGACGTAGAAACCCAGATGGCTTGCAATGTCGCTCCCCTCAGCCTCGTTGGCCTATAGACAATAAAAGGGCACTGGGCTTGCCACTTCAAGAGTCTTGATTTGCAATCTTTCCTCGGAGTGTATTCGGATCACCATGTTGTTTAAATCTGCTCTTTTCCTCGCCTTGAGCAACGGCTTGGCTGCCTTCGCTCGCCCCAGTGGCGGGTGGTCGAATGAACCATGCCAGCAAATCACCAGGATGTATCAGTCGAATCTGACAACATATCCCGGAGATGTGGCCCAGCAATGCCTCGTCTCGATCCCGTTCCAACCCCAACGGTCGGTGGCCTTCCTCGAGGATCTTCGGAAATACCTGCAATGGCAAAGTACGATTGATGTACTCAAGAACCCTCCTACTAGCTACCTGTCTCCAGCAACCGATATTTTCGGTGGCATGGATCAATTACTGGAGATGGCAGCGCGTGAAGTCTTCACCAGCCAGTACGAATTTGATACACTGGTCACCGAGCTGCTCGCGTCTGCACAAGATGGACATCTATATGTGAGCCCGTGCAGTACCTCAATATTTGAGTTCTCGATTGATTTTCCGCTTGTCTCGGTGTCGTCTGATGGCCTGGAGCTTCCAAAAATCTACGCGATGAGTGAGTTTCCAGCGAAACTAGGTCGGATCGTACCAGCTAATGTAGCCAGATGATTCCGCACTTCTGTCAACTCATCCAGAGCGCGTCTCGAACCTAGTCTCGGTGAATGGGGAGCAGGCCGAAGAGTTCTTTGGGAAATTTGCCCTCAGAATTGGTGGGTTCCAAGACCCCGACGCTCGCTACAATTATGTCTTCAACTCGAATGCTCGGTTGATGGGCTCTGATACCAACGCCGGTAGCTGGATGAACCCTGGCTCCTGGCCAGGTGCCGGTATGTTCGAGCTGCGCTTTGCCAACGGCACAGTTCGCTACGCCCACACCACGGCCGGGATGGGCTATCTCCCTGAGTTCAACTTTACCACCGGTCAATCTATGTACCAGCAGCTCTGCATCGAGCCACTGATCAGAGAAGCGAATTGGGCCACTGCTTCTGCGTCATCCGCCACTTGGATGTCGTATCCTTCCTCGACTTCAATTCCATATCCATCTTCCACTTTCATATCGACTCCTTCGGCGACTGCGACTGCCACCCCATCGCGCTCATGGACTAGCTCTGTTACCCCAACAAGCTCGGCCTCGGTTGCTCCGGTTCAACCCTACCCAAAGGTGTATCCGAAGCCCGTCGTTGGTGATGATCTGGACCACATCTATGGGTATTACCTACCCGAAAAGGATTTGCGGACAGTGGCTGTCCTTCAGCTCCCTACTTTCGAAATGTACGGAACATATGCGATGACTATCCCTCAATTCCTCAAGGAGGCCAAGGCTGCCGGCAAGCAGAAGATCATCATTGATATGTCGAACAACCCCGGCGGCGAGATCGCCGCGGCACTGGACATGTTCAAGATGTTCTTCCCCGACAAGCCGGCATACTCAGCGACTCGTTTCCGCGCCCATGAGGCGATGAACTATATCGGGCAGGCCTTTGGCTCCATCGTCCAGAACAACTCTAACATCTGGTCTTGGGATTCCTTCGAGCAGTGGATGCCTTCGGGATATGTCACCCCAAACCAAAAACATGGCTTTTCTTCCTGGAAGCAGATCTTCGGCCCTGTCTTCGAGCTTGGCTCTAACATGTCTACCATGCACGGGGTCTTCAACGAGACGTTCGAGTCCGCCACCCTGACCCCTATTAACGGATACAACGGTGTCCCGCTCCGACCAAGTCATACTCTTTTCGCCCCGGAAGATATCCTCATCATGACAGATGGGGACTGCTCATCGTCCTGCACGACCTTCAGCGAGTTGATGAAGAACCTCGCCGGCGTCAAGACGGTGGTCTTCGGCGGTCGCCCGCAGAACGAACCTATGCAGGCCATTGGCGGCGTCAAGGGCAACGAAAACCTTGACTCCGGCATCATTGTGGGACTATACAACAAGGCTAATCGCCTAGCCGAGTCGGCAGCCAAGGCTGGCCACCCCATTCTCACCGAGACGCAGCGCATGCGTCTAAAGGAGCTGTCCCCGGCTAATATTCCTCCTTTGTCCTACATCGCTGGCGTCAACTACCTGAACGGCTACCGTCCCGGCCAGCCGCACATGCCGCTGCAGTTCATCTATGAAGCGGCCGACTGCCGTCTTTTCTATACCCACGAGAACTTCGCTCGCCCGGCCACCTCGTGGGCTGCTGCCGCGCGCGCCGTATGGGGCCACGGCCGCTGTGTTGCATCGTCGTCTTAGGCCAGCTCTGATTTGAGTTCTCTTTTCCACCGTTTCCCGGACAAATTAGGTGTACAGCGTTTTTATTTCTGCATCTTGTAAATTCTTTGCTTGCATGTTCTCGGCGGTTGTCAGAAGTTTGGATTCGGCCCTACTATAATGGTATCAAGTTATATAGACCAAATACTGTGTGGCAAGTCTCTTTAGATTGGCTTTCATCTTCCGTTTCAGTACCTCTTGCCGCCAGTTACTTCCGAAAATAGATGGGAAAGCCTTGCCTAGCACCCACCCGCTCTCCAGTCTATATAGTTGCATATTATCTTTTTTTTTTACTCATATTACCATTGTTATTGTTTAGCAATGTGCTACTTATTAGATTCATTTCTCATGTAATAACCCTAATAGTACGCCGAGGTGCATCGTCGAGCAATACAAATGCCCAACGAAAGGCATCACCGCCGTCTGGAGCTGGAACTGGCCATCGGCTCAAAGGCATCGTCGTCGTCATCGTCCTCAATGTCGCTGATGACATTGGACCCCCGTGTTGCACGATTGGTGCGCGTTGAACGAGGTGCACTGGCCTGCGAGCCGGAGAAATCGAGCGTCGTCTGGGCTGGCTTGGCGGATCGAGCAGCGCCTCGGCGAGTGGCCGTCCCTCCTACGGTCGCTGACGATGGTGCGGGCGAGGCTGCCACTCGTCCGCCGCGGCGCTGCGTGGTGGTTGTGCTGGCGGGCGCCGCTTTGCGTGATCCCCTGGTGGCAGCGCGCGGTTGCTTGACAAACAATGCTTGGGAATCGTCCTCTTCAGATACGGCATTAACCTCGTTATCATCGTCGTCATCAATCATGATCACATCATCATCTGCAGCCGATTCGGATTCGGAGACTACTTGTTTCTTGCGGCCTCGAGTGGTAGACGCAGGTGCGGCTTTGGCTGCACCTCGGCTGCCAGCAGCGGCACCCCGACCTCCACGGCCTCTGCCGCGACCACGAGTAGTGGTTGTTGTGGTTCGACTCCGGGCTGGTGCGGTTCCATCTTCACCGGCTTCTTCCTCTGCAGGATCGCCACCTTCGTTGTCTGAGTGGATGAGCGCACCGGGTTGGTCCTCCCACACGCCATCAAACTCGGTGTCCCAGCCATCAGGTTTGGGTTTGAAGCGTTTCTTGCTGCGGGTCCGTTTTTTAACTCCCTTGGTGAAAAGTTCTTCCATCTGGGTGCGATACTTCTCCATAGCGTTGACCAAGGAGCTCTGCGCTCTCTCCTCGTCATCCATCTCGTCACCATCCCGATCCAGGGCCATCAAGTGTTTCACCTGGCTCTCAAGGGAATCGTTGACAAACATTTCCATTGCATGTTTATCATCCTTGTCTATAAACTGCGCCACGGCATCTCCGAATGAGTTTTGGGGGAGGATACTCAGCGACTGCGCCGAGAGGAATTCGCGCACCAGCTGCTCCACCTTGACGGTGTCTAGAGCCGACAGGTGCGAGACAGTCGCCTCATCGACGGTGTTGTCACCCTTTCGGGAAGTTGCATTCTTCTTCTTTCGGTAGAACTGGACCACGTCATTGACGTTGGCAACTTTACCCACAAATCGATTTGAGAACCGTTGCGGGTTTTCACAATCGTAGCTCCCACCCTCAGGGGTTGAGATCTCAACACGAAGCCGCACGAGGGGAAGAGGAATCTCGCGGGTCTCGTCATCTGCGTCGTCCTCCTGATCACCATTTATCTCCCGCCACTCTGCTTTTGCTTCTTCGATTAATTCCTCAACAATCGACATGAGGAACCGTGTCACTTCGGTACGGTTGTTCTCCTTGCGCGCAAGCTTTTGGGCCCCTTTCTCTTCGGATAGCACGATCTCTCGCATCACAAATGGCCGCACGGATTTTAATCGAATGGGCTCCGACCTAAACTCCCGGCCTGTAATACTCAGGATTGCAACCTGTTTTGGCACAGCCTCGCCCGGGACCAGAGACGTGGCAACCGATGATCCCGGCTGCATGACGTGGAATTTTGTTTCTGGATTGAGTCGAGGGTTGATCAAGCATTCATGCTCATGGCCCCAAATGACGAGATCGAGGAAGTCGGGTAGAAAATTTTCGGGAAGATACCCCTTTTCTGTGTAGGCATGGTGATTCTGGTGCACCGACATCAGATTGAACCAGTCGCTCTTTTGCACGGACGGTTGAAAGAACTTGACCTTGCCATCCCGGAAGGTACGAAACAGGCGCTCGTCACGCACATTGCTCATGCCATAGAGGGCGAGCTTGGTGCGGCCCTTCTGCAGCAAGACCGGTTTGATCTGAATGTTATCTGACTCCGGCGTCCGACCGTAGTAGTTGAGCAGGCCGGACACCTGCAGCAGGTCGAGTGCTGCCAGATGTCCCTCTCCCGAGGGATCGTCATGGTTTCCGTGGATGGAAAATATGGGGATGGCCACGTTCATGTCCAGATCCTCGTAGTTGACATGGTTGAATGCGCCCTGGAAGGTCTCACTGGCATCGCTGAGCATCTCCAGCTCGCAAGGCTTGTCCCCAAAACAGTTCATTCGAATCGAGCGCATGACCTGGTACATGGATTTGCGCGACGGCTTATTCTCATGAAAGAGGTCGCCCGCCAGCAGCACCATGTCGACATCTTGTTCCTTGGCGAGGCACATCACCTCGTGGAAGCTCTTCCAGCTGTCGTCACCCCGAATGGGATCTCTCTCATTGTACCCGACATGGTTATCGGTGGAGATCAGAATGCGGATGGTCTCCGCGTCTGGAGGTGGCCCATCAGTCATGTACTTGGGTAGCCTGGCACCGGTATGTGCTTACCATTGGCGGGCATGTTGGCGAGGACAGTCTCCTCGGTGTAGTCTTATCAGTCCTGTTAGTTCCCGGCCGTGGATCCTTTGTCGCGTGGTCACGTGCACCATCACGCGTGGTCCCAAACTGCGGGATGGCCGCTGCGCCTTGCCGCTGTTGCGTCTCTGTCTCGCTTTTCTTCCGCTTCACCACCACCTCACAACCCGCAGCTCTTTCGCTCTCCCACTCTTCTCAACTTTTTATCTCGACTGACCCAGGTATTTCTGCTGGCTCAGTCGCCCTCGCCTATTGCCCCCCCATCAAGTCATTTTATGCAACCAAAGCCGACTGCCGTATCTCAACATACCTCTTCCGTTGACTCATTCCCAACCGACCGCCCACCCACCCAGCATGGACATGACCTCGATGACCATCCAGTCTCCGGTTCTCGCGATCGCGAGCCAACTGGAGACCCTGCAGTCCGCCTGGGACGGCCAGACCAAAGCGAGAAACACTCGCCCCTGAACCGGGTCGTACAAGGTGTCTCAGCCCAGTCAGCCCCCGCTCGCCGCGTGAATCAGCACGATGGTGGAGTATCGTCGAGTCCAGATGAAGATTTTGGATTCCGAGTCGTGACCGTGCAGGCCCCGTCCCAAGTGAACCTGGAGGCGTTTCCAAATGGTATGTCGTGCGGAATTAACCCGTCAGACCCGGTGCCTGAAATAACCGTTATATCCAGAGGTCCTCACTCATATCCTTTCCCATCTGCCTCCCCAATCCTTGTCGGCCATTACGTTGGTGTCTAGTCGGTTTCATGTGCTGGTCACCACTCCTCATGCTTGGAGGATTGCCTTCTCCCGCTTCTTCCCGGGACCCTATTCCGCAGACAATGGTCGTAGCGCTGCTACCGATCAGGCGGATTTGGTCTCTGATCGGCGGTTCTTTGCAAGACTGACTGCGCTGGCGTCCTGGCGGAGCGAGTACATTTTACGAACTCGTCTGATGCGATCGCTGTCGCGGGGCAAACCTTCCCAGTTCCAACCCTCGAAGAAACATGGCACGGTCCGATCGGCCAATTCTCGCAACGGAAGCGCAGTGGCAACATACACTTCACAATTACTGTTCCCAGTGAGCCATCTCCATAGCACATTTGGCAAGTCCTCGGAGAAAGAGCCACTCTTCATCCATGGCGCTTCGGAGCAAGGCATCGCGTCTGCTAGCGATCCATCCACCGTCAAAGTTGGTACTTGGGGGCTGTCTGATCATCAGATGTTCCGGCACTTTGCGGATCTGTTCCCAGGAGAGGCGCCCTATGGCCTCGGGCCAGGCAACTTGATTGGTATGCCGAACTCGATGGACGTCAGCCAACCCTTCGGTATGGTTTACGGAGAGGGTTGTCCACAAGGCCGCAGCTATTTTATCTTGTCTACGGAGCAACGTGGTCGCTTTCTAGGAAGCTCAGATCTGGGTTCCCATCCGTCGCTGGGTATTCCGGCTTTGAACAGGATCACAGATGCCGTGTGTGCTGTATGGATTACCAAGTCATCACATGTACTGAAGATGACGGGAGGCTTGATTGGCATGCTTTCTGGCTCCTCATCAGGTGTGCTCACTGCCTATGCGTTAGGCCCCCATCCGACGTACGAACAACGGTATGAGCGTGGTCAGGTGACTGCGAGGTGGGTGCTCAGCCCGGGTGTCCCCATCATCGGCATTGCGGTGGACGATCACTATACCTCGAAACGTCATGCAAGCCGGCGAATCTGGGCCGTTGCGCTCAACGCTCTGGGCGAGGTTTTTTATCTCACCGAGATCCCGCAGCAGCCAGAAGTAGCAACTATTGGAAACGCGAAGCTGAATGCTGAACAGCTTGATGAGCTGGCGTGGAAGACCGGTAGAACTGTACGCTGGGAATTGGTGGAAATGGCTCGCCGAGTTGCTCGTCCGGATCCGTTCAACCGGGAACCTGTGGATGGCAGCTATAGCCCGCGGTCGTCCTCTGACTGGATGGGTCTCGACGAGAATCAGATCGCCGCTGAGACGAAAGAGATTGAAAAGTTTCTTGCGTTCAAGCCCAAGCACTTCCGCAAAGTTTGCGAAGGGTGGAATATGCAGCGCGATCTCCAAGTTGATTTTGCGGGTGACGATGGTCGCGGAGCCGGTGAATCTGTCCTCATCATCGCTCGTGGTACGGGTGAAGATGACAAGGCGTCGATCCGGCGATTTGTTCGAACCGCCGCCAAGTCTGATCTGTCCTCGTCAACCACTTTGGAACGTTACGCTCTCTCTGCGAACGAGAAGGCGTCGACGTCCCTTTTTGGTGGCCCAGGGAACACTACTAGTCCGGCTACGAACAGCAGCCTCCCGCCATCTCGATCCTCAAGTCGACAAAATGAGCCTGTCTCTTCCAACAACACTGAATGGCGCATCTCGGATCTTGTCTTTGGCGACCGCAAGTCCGTGGAAATTACCACCACCGCATTGGATGATTCCACTTTTGCTGTGCTTACAGCGGAGGAAGATCCGCTCCTGGCCATGTCTGGTAGCTCGTTCTCTTCCGCAACGTCGTCCCCAATGCCGCATATGGAGCAGCCGCGGTCAAGCCTAGAGGTTCCTGGGCAGCGGGCACGGTACATGGCCGTCGGCACTACTTCAGGAATGGTGTTCGTCTGGGATATTCGAATCCCTCCGGCGCAGACTGCGGATGTTATCAACTCCATCTTCCCGCTACGGACGATTCAAACCGAGTCACCCCAAGTTTCCAGTGTGGCATTGACGTCGTTGTACCTTGTGCATGGCGGCAATGATGGCCTTGTACAGGCCTGGGATCCATTAGCCTCGTCTACGACACCCATTCGAACTATCAACTCTCGCTTCTCGTCACGGGCGCGCCGCCGCCTAGTTCAAGCAGAAGCTTCGGTGCTTGGCGTGGGCAATAATTACTATGCCACTGGAGCCATCTGCCTGGATCCTGATCCAACCGTGCTGCGTGGGATGGTGTCCCTTGGGACCCACCTTCGCTACTGGTCATACAGCTCATCTGCGGCCGATCAGTACAAGAGCGGCAAGCGTCGATTCCGCCGTTCAATGCGCGGCAGCAACGGCTCTGCTGACGGCCAGCGTTTCACCAATAGTGGCCGCGGCGCTATTCGTGACTACATTGAGGACGAACGTGTAGAAATGGAGCGCCAAAGAGTCGCAGATGAGAAAGAACGGGCACACCTAAGTGCACGCTTTGGAGTTGATCTCCTGGGCCCCGATGTTGATGAGGAACAGCTGTTGGCGTACGCTCGGCTTCTGAGCGAAGAAACCTATACAGGCAATGCGCCCAATCGCGGCGATCAAGCGGCGTCCGTGAGCTCCGTCACCAGCGCCGAGCTGAGCGATACCGTCGGTCCTAGTTCGGGCGCCCCAGGCGAACTCTCGTCCTCTTCGTCGCCATATCAAGATCCTGCTGACGACGACGACGACGAGATCGCCGAAGCTATTCGGCTGAGTTTATTAGATGAGAGATCTGGCGCTGCGCCGATTGAACATACGTCCCCAATCCCCATCAAGTACGCCAAGGGCGTGGAGCCACCGCGCTCGGCATCCCTTGGTACGGCTGCCGCGGAGAGCAGCCAGCAACAAGAGATGGACGACTTGGAATTCGCCATTCAGCTAAGCTTGGCGGAGAATGAAAGTCGCGATGACGCGTCTAGACAGGAGCACGAGGAGTTCCCTGCGTTATCGCCTGGACCGTCATCATTTTCGTCTGGGAAGGGCAAGGGCAAAGCCCGGATGATGTAGAGGCTTTCGGTTAGATTATTTCCGGAGGGAGGTTTTTTGAGTTGTTATATCTATCATCTTTGAGATGTTGTTCTTTGCTATTCGGGTTAATTTTTGTTACACATCTAGAGCTATATCATTGTCTATTGCGAGCACCGATCTGTCAAGGAAGTACTTTAGGTAGTCCGGCGCACTGGGAAGGGTGGATGCCCAAGGGAACCAATACTTCAAACGCAGGCCCATGCATACCGAGGTGCTCATGGCGCCCATTCCAGAACTAAAACAATGTGTACGAAAGAGTATATCCGGGCGTTTCTTGAACTTTAGACAGCCAGCAGAAAAAGTTATTTACACTACAGCAAATTGCCAACATCGACAACACAACCGAAAAATATCCATTAACCGAATCACCGGTGAAAACGAAGCATGTGCATGAAATTTGGACAAAAGACAAGTAACAGCGAAAATAATAACACTAGGCAGGAAGGATATATCCATAATTGTCCTGGTAGACTCAAGAACAGGTCCGACGCCAACCAGTTGCTTCCTGTAGAGCACGAACTCAAATTAAAAACAGCAAAGCATTTAGAAGAGCGAAGCGGCCAGCATGAAGAGACCACCAATGCCACCGATGACCATCGAGGGGCCGTCCTTGGGGGCGGCGTTGGTGGTCGTGGAGGACGCGCCGGACGACGTGGTGGTCGTCTTGGGACCAGAGGGGTTGTTGGTCGCATCATCGGCTAGCATGGTGTACTGGACAGAGACCTTCTGGCCGTTGTACTTGGTCACGGTCTGGGGGATGGTCTGGTTCTTCAGGTTAGAGTTGTCGATCTTGCCCTGGTGCTGGGCAGCATCGGGGAGACCGTTCTTGATCCAGCCCGGAACCTCGGAGGGAGGAGTGGGCAGGTCCCACGAGTTGTAGAAGTTGCCCTTGATGATGCTGGGGTCGCACTTCTCGGGCTGGATGCTGTCCTGAGTCACGTTGGTGGAGGTAAGACGGGCGATGTCAAGCTGGTCGAACTGCTTCTGCAGGTTGTAATAGTCAACGAGCGTCTCGACAGAGTCGGCAGACTTGATGTTGACCAGGCCGTAGTTGTTGGCATCCTCGGTCCACTGGTATACCAGACCGCCTGAGAAGTCCTGGGTCATGTCCTCGCCGTAGATAGCCTGCACCTCGGTGAAAGTACGGGGCAGAACCTTGTTGCAGCCATACTCGGAGAAGAAGACAGGGATAGTGGCCGACTTGAAGTCCGTCACCAGCTGGTCGTAGGTGCTGGTCTTCATGTTGGCGTCACCGCACCAGGAGTACGAGTTCAGGCCGAACATGTCAGCATTGGAGTCGGTCGAGTTGTCAAGCGCACACTCGAAGTAGTGGGCAGTGTCCACCAGAATATTACGCACATCCGCAGCGGAGTATCCGACTGGAATGTCGCGCTTGGACTGGGCGGCAATGTACTGCTTCATGTCACGAATGACGGCACGAACGTACAGCGGGGCAGAGTAAGTAGCGTCCTGGTTGATGACCTCGTTTCCGGCGAAGAAACCAATCACGTTGTCAAAGTTCATGAAGGCATTCACGATACCGAACACCTGACGGTAGTACTCGTTGGTGTAGGTGGTCCAGGGCGCAGTGTTGTCCAGGGCCTCCTGAGGGGTGTTGACATCAAGAATCATGTAGATACCGGCGGCGTTGAAGGTAGACACGCACTCATCGTGGCTGCCATTGGCTGCCAGGTTGTAGACACGGATGGTGTTGATCTATGGGGGAATCGTTGCATCAGCTTATCGAGAACGCACGGCGGGAGAAAGTGATTCGACTTACGCCCAGCGCCTGCATGAGGGCCGCATCACGCAGACACGCCTTGGGGTCGGTCAGAGGGTCCTCGTTAGCGCCGGGGTTGAAACCGGATGATCCACCAGGCTGATAGCTGTTCGGCTAGTCAGTCATCTGTCTTGGGCTGAGAGGTCAACAGAGGATCTTACTCAACGCCGATAATTTGGAAGCGCTCATTGGTCTGGGAGTTGACAAAGTCTTTGCCCTTCACTTCAAGCGGGATGACAGCGGCTGCAGTGCTGGCGAGAGCACAGATGGCCGTAGCGAGACGACCGTAGGACTAGAGAGTGGGTGAGCCAGGGTCAGAAGAGTCGATGGAATGAGGCATACGGGAATCATTGTGATGGGCTGAATTATTCAGGCCAAATGGTGGTATATATCAAATGGGTGTCCAAGTGAGAGACAAGAGTGACCGTCGAACAAGGTCTGAAAAGAGTGACAGAGAGAGTGTGTGTGGGGAGGAAAGAACGAGTGTCTGGTGAATGTATATACACCGAAAAAGAAAGAAAGAAAGAATGGACAAGAAAGGATGGGAAAAAGGGAAGGAGTGAGAGAGAGAAGACAAAGACACGAAGAGATGAAACGGGCAGAAGAAATAGGAGAAAGAGCGAAACACGGAAGGATTGAGATCGGCGAGTTGTGGGGCACAGTTAGGGGTCTGGCGGGTGACTTGGTGGATACTTGGAAATGACTAGTGTCCACTACGGGGAGCGAAGTACCCTGCATGTACTACCAACGGAGCAGCCTATTGACGCGATCGATGGCGCCACAGACGGAGCCATGCCCAAAGTCTAATCCATTCAAGACTTCTAAAATAGTACAGTACTACACTGAAGATTGCCTGTCCGGGTCCGAGTCCTTCCATCCACAGACCTAGTCCAACCCAGCCCAAGACGGTACAATGCAGAAAATAGAGGTGGGGGAAAGAAATCAGAAATGTCGACGCAACAGAATCATGGCGCCGAGAGAAGCCCAAGGCCTCGGCACCCTCTGCCAAGGCTTAAACCCCAATGAACACATACATATACAAAATACAGGAGGAGACAGGGGGCAGTGTGAGCGGTATACAGGTAGTGGAGAGCGGGAGGGTGAACGGGTAGATGGCGGATAGTGTCGGGTAAAAAGGAAGGCGAGCGAGGGAAGCGGCACAAGTACTTTACTCGACGCCGTGGCTATCACTGCCACTCTCGCCGGTGAATGAGCCCAGGTTGAGGCTAGAATCCATGGCAACCATCTCGGCCAGGATCTCCAGGACCTCCTTCGGGACGGTCTTGTCGTAGATCGAGATCAGGTCCTTGGGCTGCGGGTACACCTTCAGGGCCCGGTAGAACGCGAGAGCAGCCTGGATTTGGTCGGAGCCTAATGGCGCAACAAGTCATGTCAATATGGGAGATCCGGGGACTAAGTGGGGAGAAAAAACATACCCTCAGCACACAGCGACTCGCCCTGGGCCACTTGGCCCATGAAGTAGGCCTCCTTCTCTTCCAGATCTGTAGGGAAGCCCTCCTCCTTGGCCTTCTGCACAGCTTGCTTGATCGCTTCCCGCTGCTGGGCACCGTGGGCCTCGGCCTCCTCCTTGGCTGCGCGAGCCATGCGGCGGTTGTTGCGCTTCAGGGACTTGCGGAATTCTGGGTCTGTCTGGCGCTTGTGGTCAAAGTACACTGCATAGGCTGTTACGAATAGGTAGGAAATCATTAGCTAGGTTGCACCGGTCAACACGTGTGATGGACACTTACCGAGCAGGCCGGTGATGACCGTGCCGGCTGAAGCAGCCACCAAAACAGAGGTTCTCATGGCGAAGGGAAGAGTATAAGCGGCAGCAAAAGAATGGAAATCGACAAGGCACCCGAACACAATGGGGGGTTGTGAATCAATGGGATGGAAGAGAAATGGGAGATGGAACGAATGATAATCATTGCGAGTGATAAATTTGAAGGAGGATTTATGTTCTTCCGGGAGCCTAGGAGCTGACTGACCAGCGAGCTCTCCACAGTGATACATACCATCCCTCCTCTGTCATCCATCAACCATTCACCATGGAAGGACGAGGCTTGACCCTGCGCAGCAAGTCTCGCCGCCAGCGGCCTCAGATCAGTGCCCCCAAGCCCATCTCTGGTCCGCTGCCGGCCAACATCAAGGCCCCCGAGAGTCGGTCAGGAGCCATCCCCGCCGGCCGCGACCAACGAGCTCCGCAGAAAGATGCCACGTCCGACCTGGTCAAACGCCGCTACTCGACTCGCTTCAATCCAGCTCCCGACTTCGATGCCAATGCACCCCCGGTGCCCTCGCTCCCACCTCAGCCTGGTGGGCTGGCCCCAGCCGCTGTCCAGAGGAAGCCATCGGCATCCGACCTGTCATCGGAGGCACCCAAGGTCGACCTCAATGCTTTGCGAGATCCGAGTCTACCCGTGGATCGATGTAAGTACCCTGCGAAAACAATTGGTGGGTTTGGTGTTGACCGGATGGATCTTTAGATGTGGCCAGTTTGCTTGCCAACGCGTCCGAGGAAGAGATCCAAAAGTACCAGGCGAGCCTCCGCAAGGTCAAGAACCGTACCTCGACCGACCTCCAACAGAACGTGTACCAGAACCGCACGCAATTCATCAAGATCAGTAAAGAAGCAGAAAAGCTCAAGGATGAGATGCGCACGCTCCGCACCCTGATGGCGGAGCTCACCACCGCACTGGGACAGACTACGGTGGGCAACACGCCCAACCCCATGTCTCCCACGGAGGAATATGTCCCCAAGCGCAATGCGAACCGCAGCTCCGTCGCCAACCTGGAAAGCATGTGGAATGTGCAGCTCCAAACCCTGTGGAAGACCGTGGAAGGGTCCCAGAAGTTCCTGCCGGCTGTCCCAGGGCGGCACATCGTGTTGGAGACGGGTAACTGGGCCGAGCTGGATTCGGCGACCTGGAAGCCCCGGCGGCCCGTCCATATCGTCTTGTTGAATGATCATATCCTGGTGGCCGCCAAGAAGCGCAAGCGAGTAGACCAATCCCAAACCAGCCGTCGAGGACCCGTCCCAACCAAGCTCGTCGCAGAGGAGTGCTGGCCACTCCAGGACATCGACATGATTGATCTGGCTGCCAACCTGGGCACCGGCGCAGCGCGTGAAGAAGCTGTGGACCGTGGGATTACGAATGCCATCAGCATTCGAGTGGGATCTAAGCCGTACACTTACCGCCAGGACAAGCGGGACACAACTACCAAGAACGAGCTGCTTCAGACGTTCCGTAAAACGGTTGAAGACCTACGGCGCATGCTTCGGTCCGAAACAGAGGCTGCGAGCAAACCGCTCGAAGCCTATGGGCTTCTCGCGGGCCGAATGTCCTACACGCCAAAGTCCGAGACGTTTGATTTCTCGGAGATCGCCCGCGACAAGTCGGACCTGCGAATTGATGTGGATGGGAAGCAGCAGAATCTGCGTTGGGTCGAGAGCCAAGTGGATGACCTGGACATTGACATTGCACTGCAACGGTTTGAGTTGGCCGTGACAAGCATTGAACGGCTGCGCAAGTTGGCCAGGGGACTGAAGGGGAACGCCATGGCGCAGGAGGTGATCAACGGCAAGGTTGATGAGCGCGCGGCGAAACTGGCGGGCATGCTCTCCCGGGCGTTGGTGGATACGCACTCCTTCCCGATGGCGACCAAGACCAATGTCAGCTGGCTGTCCCGCCTCGGGTATGAGGACCAGGCCCGTGAAGCCTATCTGAAGGCCCGATCCGAAGTGATCGCTAAGCGCGTTCGGTATGTACTTCTCTCCTTTTTGTTTCTTATCTTGCCAAGCTAACTAGGCACTACAGAGCCTGCGTCTTCGAGGGCGATCTACCTCTTTACATCTTCCAGATCTCGTTCGTCTATTTCACACTCATCAAGAATACCATCAGTATCTACCAGCAGTGCTTCCCGTCCGTGATGACAAGTTCCTGCATCCGATGGGCCAAGCAACATCTCGACGGGTTCAATGCGCTACTCGGCCGCCAGCTCAGCAGCGTGCAACGGGGCACCTCTGTGTGGGAGAAGTGCTTGAATATTGTGCATGACCACGCCGAACTGCTGGCAGAGGTCGGCGTTGATTTTACGGATTTGGTCGCTCGCGGATTAGACAATTACGGCGAACAGGCTCCTGGCGGAGAAGGCATGCGCACTGTTCAGCCGGGCGAACTGCCGCCTTCCCCAGCGCCGCCAGCGATGATTTAGTTAGTTCTTTAGTCGGTCGTCAGCCTTGCTTACCTGAGATTGTTTCGTGCTTCTTGTTCATCTCGAGTCCACTTAGAGACCCATGGGAGTAAAACCCAAATGCCACATCTAATATTTCTCCAATTGAACGGACTGGTAAAAGTATCGCAGCCAAATTTCATCCCTCATTCTCAAAACAATCAACCCTCACCGTGGCGGACACCCTCCACCTCAGCTCAGCCTTGGCCCCCAAAGCCACCCACCCGTCCACTAGCGTCATCCCCGAGGCCACGCCAGTACCCATTCCACCCATCTATACCTCCGACGAGAAAATGAAGATAGTCCTAGCAGGCTCAACCGGCTTCATCGGCCAAGAAGTTCTCCAACAATGCTTAGACAGTTCCAAAACCACCTCAGTGGTGGTCCTCTCGCGCCGCGAGTTACCCGCGCAAGAAGATAAGGACAAAGCCAAGAAACTGCGAGTCGTTCTCGTGGATGATTTCCTGTGGTATCCGGACTCGATCAGGGATGTGATTAAGGATGCGGATGCATGTATCTGGTAGGAATCCCTTATATTTCCTTGATACTACCGCAAAAGTTGTCGAGTGAGGGAAAACAACTATCCAGCAAGTCCAAACTAAGCGGGTGAGCAGGACACTGGGCAAAGCGCGCATGCCCGATAACGAAACAGCCCGCCGTGTGAGCGTAGATTATACTCTCGCCGCCGCGCGGGTGTTGCAAGAGACGGCGGAGAACAAGATCCGCTTTGTGTATTGCAGCGGAGCCGGGGCGGAGCGAGATCATAATAAGCCGTTGTGGTTTCTGCAGGAGTATCGACGGATTCGAGTATGTCTGCCTAACTATAGAAGTAACTGTTTGCGCGCCGGCGAAGTTGACCGAAAGAACTAGGGCCAAGTGGAGAATGAGCTGATTTCCTTCGCCGAGGCACACCCAGATCACTTCGATGCGTACATCATGCGCCCCGGCATGGTAATGTCGTCCGACTTGACCCTACGCAGCATGATGTTGTGCCTAACGACCTCCGTGCGGGTGGATGTGTTGGCGGGCGCCATGCTGGATCTGGCGCTGGATGGCGGCGAGAAGAAGATATGGGAGAACGCGGAGATCATCCAGGCGAGTAAGGATAAATGACCAGGTTTGTCTTTATTCATGGTTTGGGGTTGAAGATGGTGTATATATACATTTGTTCTATGGTTCTATTATTGATTCTTTTTATATGCCTTCTCACTTCTTCTTCGTAGCAGGCAACTCCAGGGTGTACATTTCGTATGTGTCCATATCCTCATAGCTCGGGTCATCCTTCATATCCGGAGGGCGTTCGGTGCGACGAGCGTGTTGATCAAACTGATGAGACCACACCGTATCCCACACAGATTGGTCGCTCAAGACGGTACCGCTGGAAAGGTGACCAAGCCGGAAGCCCAGGGGCTCGTCGACGCCCATGTCAGACGGCAGGCGCATAAAGTGGCGGACGCTGTTGGGGATTTCTTCTTTGACATGGCTAATGAGTACCAAAGCCTGGTCATCCGACAGGCCCTTGAAGCGGATTTCGGGGTTTTTGTCTTTCGCTTTCTTTCGCTCTCCGAGATCGAGGAAGTGCAGACACTTGTCCCGCTGACTGGCCGACAGGCCTGAGAAGGGTTCGTCGAGGATGACGATATCCGGTCTGTGGATGAGGGCTCGCAGAAACAGCACGATACGCTGCTGGGCGGTGGTGAGCTCGCCAAAGCGCAGTTGGTCCGCATACTCGATGTCGTGCTCTTCATCAATAAAGGCTGTCGAGTAGCGAAGAGACCCGAGTTTGGGGAAAAACTCGCGCCCCTCCGTTGGGTAGAGCTTTGGTGGCTGGACCTTATCGGCCGCATGGGGATCAAATTCATCTTTGAAGTAACGCAAGACCGCGTTCACGTCCAGGTCCCGCTCATAGTCCAGCTTTGGCTTGGACAAGAATGTCTCCCCGAAGGCCGATTCGAGGGACTGTCGCAGCGTCAGCTGACGAGGGAAGAACGCGTGGATCTCTGGGGACGAATGGCCGAGACGGGATTGCAGCTCGAAAATGGAGATACCGGGTTTGCCGGCTTCTGGCAGTCGAGACCGTCCAAACAGTTTGATAGGCAGGGCGTATGTCTGTGGATGATCGGACGTGATCAACGACAGTAAGGTCGTCTTGCCTGACCCGTTGGCTCCCAGAATCGCCCATCGTTGACCCCGACGCGCCTTCCAGTGCAGACCATCCTTGTCGGCGTTGTGGACCCTTTGTTTCCAGTCGCCCAGCACCGCTCTCTCGCCGTACTGAACGCGGACGCCTTCCATCTCGATCAAGGGTTCTCCTGCTTTCCGAGCATGGCTATCGAGGGCTTTCTTCTTCGGTTTGCAAACTCCAAGGTCTCCAAGGAGTTCCCAATCTAAATATCCAGCTGTCATAGCGTCTTGAGATGCTTGCGACATGCTCTCTTTTTGAGGCCTGCCCTTGTTGAGCCCGGGGAAAAATTCCTTCCGCCAAACTTCCAGCCCTTCAGCAACTTCACGGTTTGAACCCTGCAAAAGGATCCGTTGGGAGTTGCCCACAATCATCCTGTGGGTGATCCAATCTGGAACGGTATCTTGAGGGCGTAGAGCCAGCACCAATCGCGGGGCACATTTCTCTGCTAACCGGTGGAGCAGTCCAGAAATGCCTTGAACGGTGGCCGGGTCCAGTCCCACTGAACGTCGTTAGCTAGACTCGAAAACGTGTCGGATATACATACTGAATGGCTCATCCAGCAGCAACAGTTCCGGCTTTTTCAGCAGCGCCTTGGCGATCCGCGCCCGCCGCGTCTGGCCATTGCTCAGATTGGCGACGGGCATATCAAGCAGATCTCGCAGGCGCAAATCGGTGATGACCTGCTCGAGAAGCTGCTCATCATGCATTGACCCTTGTTCCTCCCCTTCCAGTGGGTTCAGAGACATCTGGCCGCGAAGGAATTGCTGCACCGTCCAGTCTGTCTCCTCGCGATGACTCTCATACCGGGCACTTAGGTATGCGCCTCGGGTCCCTCCAATTGCGCCGGACCCCTCGCCACTGAACCCAATATATTGAATGGCATTCCCCTCAAAGCGTAGTCGCGGGTCCTTGGCCGCGATCTCTTCCGTGCGGAGATAAGGGTACGAGCGCGCAGTTGGGGGGATACAGATGTGCTGGCCGCGTAGGACGTGGAGAAGATCGGTTCGGCTGGGGGTGCCAATCACCGCCCAATGATGGGGCGGCGAAATTCCATTATCTGTTTTCTGTGAGGGGAGATCCGAAGGGAGGGTGAAGTTGAGGTTTGGGAACAGCGGAGGGTTAGATGCGTCATTGGCGGTCGGATACTGCTTGTAAAAAGTGCCATCCTGAATATGGATCAGGGGAGGAGCCGAAGACACCAGGCGCACTGAGCGATGGAATGGATGGGCAGCCAAGCGCACCCATGGCCGCAGACTTGGTCGAGGCAGCATCGTCAGATATCGAGGAGCGAAAGGAAAGCAGCGCCCCGGGTCAACGAGAAAGGCCAGTCACGTGAGGAGTACTATTTGTTGCACGCGAGGGGATTATAGCAGCCAGGGAACATCAGTTCAAGAACGAAGCGAGAGCATTGTAGTTGATTGGTTACATTATTGGAATTTAGTCTGGTGGTGGAATGGTCAACTAGTCTTCGAGAGACCTACTCCAGAATATATCCATCCTAGGTTCATCAAAACGACCCAACCAAGGTTGCCATCCAATATATACATCGCCCGATCATAATTCAGTTTAATAATACACCACTCCGGTACCTCTGTTCACATGATGTGAATGTCTCACTACCGATCCGACCGGGCTGCCGGGTTCTAGGCTGCCCCCGCTAGACCCTATTCAATCTTGCGTCCCAAATAAAAAAACACCAAACAAAGGCTGCTTCTTCAAAGTTTCCTTGCTATCATCACTATCCTCGATTATTGACACAACCCAAACCATGAATTTGCAAACCTTGCTGACTTTCACGACGCTGGGCCTCGCGGCCGCAGAATCCTCCGTCGTCTCTCTGTTCATTTTTGATGCAGACCCTCAGGCGCTGGTCGGCTCGGTCGTGGCATCGGTGTGTGGCAGCCCAAAAACGATTAGGATGGCCCCTGCTAACCGGACGATGATTTCCTAGAAATCCGACACGACGACATACAGCATCAACTGCGCCTCTGGCGAGAGCCCCGAAAACTGCGGATTCGCCGCGGGCTTCATGTACACCGCGGCCCCGACAACAGTCGATTGGATGTTGGCTCCACCATATGATATGTACGTTCGTGAATATACATGATGGAGTGATCGATTCCTGTTTCTAAGATCTAACTGATGATAGCGATGGCCACGTTGGTTGTTCGATGGGAGGAACCACGGCGGCCGTGTGCACCCTGACCATGCCACACCAGGTGATTGGTAGCTCGCGCACCGAGTTGACTCAAGTCACGACTCTGAGCAAGAATGATATTACCTTCATGCCTGTCACTATTACTGCAGGTCCCTTGGCCACCACCACGTCGCAGGCTTCGGGTGCGTCTTCCTCTGCGAGTACCAGCACGGGCGGTCTGCCTCAAATCACCGCAAATCCCGGGGCGATTTTGGGTGGTGCCGCAGCGGCTCTAGTTGCTGCTGTCCTGTAGGAGAGATGAGAATATGTGGTTTTTGATGACAGGCATTTACAAACCTAACCCTAAGCCCATTTGGATCTTGTACTTAATACAAAAAACGTGAATAGGATAGTTAATTCATTTCGGCTCTAGTTGCAGACCTCATGCCTGACATGTAATATGATGTAGTTGCTGGGTAAACCTCGGTCTCCACATCGGCCATTCTCCGCAATAATCACCGGCTAAAGATATTGCGCGATCAAAATCATAGGCCGCCCCTGATTCTTAAGTGCGGCTCTTCCTAATCAGCTCACCCTGTTCCATACATTCCATTCACACTCGCACCGATGTCAATTCCGTCCCTACCGCTCTTCGTGGCGGCGCAGACCCATGCCCAGTGCAACCCCGCGAAAGTGGCGGTCGTGGACACTACCAAGCAGGAGTCTTTCACCTTCGGTCAGCTGCTCGCCGATGCGGCGACATTGAAAAAGGGCATTCTTGGGGAACTTGGGCTTTCGGACTCCGGTGATTTGGACGAACGGCGTATCGCCTTCCTCACTCCGAACGGATACGACTATGTGGTCACTCAATGGGCCGTGTGGGCGGCTGGGGGAGTGTGTGTGCCACTCTGTAAGCTGTTGCAACATTCAATTCCTGGGGGCTTTGGGGCTAATATTAAGGAAAATAGGCACAAGCCACCCTGTGAAGGAGCTCCTATATACCGTGGGCGACTCGGACCCATCCCTAATCCTCATCCATCCAACATTTGAGAAAGTGGCGCCGGCTTTGCGCGAGGGATGCACGACCGCCATCCCAATCATGAACTTGGAACCTTTTACGCGCACCGACGAAGCGCCTCTGCCCGATTTCTCTCCTTCTTTTCCCTTGACCCGTCGAGCCTTGATGATCTATACATCTGGCACCACATCCAACCCGAAAGGCTGTGTCACAACACACGAAAACATTACATTCCAGGCAAACAGCCTCATGGAGGCCTGGAATTACAACTTCTCTGACCATCTCATCCATGTGCTCCCACTGCACCATGTCCACGGGATTATCAACGGGTTAACAGCCAGTTTCCTGAGCGGCACGACGGTGGAAATGCACCCGAAATTCGACCCGAAAGCGATTTGGGAGCGGTGGCAGGACCGCGGCTCCTCGACTATGTTCATGGCTGTGCCAACGATCTACTCGCGACTCAATGATTATTTCGATGCTCACATTCGCGGGTCTGAACAAGAAACGGCTGCGCGAGCGGGTGCGAAAGCACTGCGGTTAATCGTTAGTGGGTCTGCGGCACTGCCGACTCCTATAAAGGCCAAATTCGCCGAGATCACGGGTCAGGTCCTGCTGGAGAGGTACGGGATGACGGAGATTGGTATGGCGATTAGCTGCGGGTTGGAGGTTGAGAAGCGCATTGATGGCAGTGTGGGCTGGCCGCTCCCTGGTGTTCAGGTGCGATTGACCGAGAAGGAGACCGGGCGGGTCATTGAGGAAAGTGACGAAGACGGGATGATTGAGATTAAGGGCGGCAATGTCTTCCGCGAGTACTGGCGCAGACCTGAAGCAACCATATCCGAATTCACGGCCGATGGCTGGTTCAAGACGGGCGATGTAGCCAGGCGCGATGCAGCTGGCGCTTACTTTATCCAGGGCCGGGCGTCGGTCGACCTGATCAAGTCCGGTGGGTACAAGATCTCGGCGCTTGAAGTCGAGCGCAAGATGCTCGCATTGGACTCCATCCAAGAAGTGGCGGTCGTCGGGCTAGCAGATGAGGAATGGGGACAACGGGTTGCGGCAGTGGTCAAGGTTCGCGAGGGAGTATGTTGAATCCTTTTCGTTACTGGGCTTTAACTAATACTTGATACAGGCTGCACGGCTGGAACTCCCAGCTCTTCGTGCCGAACTGAAGAACGAAATGGCACCGTATAAGATCCCCACGGTGCTGAAGATCGTGGATGGGATTGAGCGTAATGCCATGGGCAAGGTCAACAAGAAGATCATTGTACAAAAGTACTGGCCCGATAAGGCTTGAAGAACTGCGACCATGCCGGGATGAGACATGAATCTTAACGAAGAGATACATAGATCGGTATACATATACGATAGATCACAAACTACGAGAGACCGTTTTGACTGTTGACAATTTTCTATATCCGAGGCAAGAGACCTCGCACCCAACGAAGTTATAACTGGAAGATCCAACGGGGATCCTTGTCTCCCAAGAATTCACCCTCAATGTCTCCAACGTCACCCATCATGGCCGTCAGACCTTGGGCTTCTCTCGCACGCTCCTTCTTCTCATTCTCCCGCTTCAAAACGTACCATAAAGTCCCCACGACGAAAATATTGGCAACCAGGTAACCCAGCGCAGTGCCGTGGCCTACAAAGTAGTACGGAGTCCACTCATTGCGATACAACTGTGTACCCATGACGGCGCCCAGATTTCCAATAGAAATCTGCAAAGCGTTTGCGATGCAGCGTTTCGTCTGTCCGGAGACGTTGTTCGCGGGCCATGAGAGCACGATGGCAACGGCAGGATAAATGCCGGCTGCGGCGAAGACAGTTCCGACGTAGGACACGCCGGCGCGGTGATCGGTTAGTAAGATAATATATCCAATGCAGGCGAGGGCTGAGGAGCCCATGATGAATGGGGCCCGACGTTGAGTCCGCTCGGAGAGCACGGCGACGGTGATGGTCAAGATGAAAGCCACAGCATACGGGGGCACAGTGAGCAGTTGTGCTTCGGCTGCAGAGTATCCCAGATCTTTGATAATTGTCGGCTAGCGAACGGTGAGCAGAGTCTTAAGACAGGCGTAAAAACAACCAACTCACCAGAAACAACGAAAGTGTATACAAGGGCAGTGACATGGTGTGGAAACCCAAGCAGTATAACCAGACCTTGGGATCCTTGAATGCATCCAGCACCGCCGACCAAGTGAAAGTTTCATCGCGCGTGGCATCATTGTCGTTCTTGAGGCGGAATTGTATGTACTCGCGCTCTTCCTCAGTCAAGAACTCGGCCGTCGCCGGATAGTTGTATACCCAGAAATAGGCAATGATGGACACGACAATGGTCAAAAGTCCTTCCTACATCGATGTCAGCTTGATTTCACACATTATTTTCTTTCTTTCGTGACAAACCAGTATGAAAATCCATCTCCAGCCGTTATATCCTCCAACTCCCTTCATATGGGCAATGCCCCAGGCGAGGATACCACCAAATGCACCGGCCAATGATGCGGCACTGAAGAACAGAGCAACGCGATAATGCTGCTCATTTCGTTTATACCACATAGACAAGTAGAATACCACGCCGGGGAAAAGACCACTTTCTGCGACGCCGAGGAAGAAACGCGAAGACAGGAACCCGGAGTAGTTCTGCACAACTCCCAGAAGGGTTGCTACCACGCCCCAGACGAGAGTAAGGGTAGGCAGCCATTTGCGCGGGGTCGTCTTCTTCAAGACAATGTTGCAGGGAATCTCGAAGAGCACGTATCCGATGAAATAGAGGGTAAGGCCGGTGAGGTACTGATCTCCTGCTATATCAATTGACTGTGATTAGCAAGACAGAAGAATGCGCCATTAAGTGGCAGACATACACATCCCGACGTCCGTCGTCATGCCCTCGAGCTTTGCATTTCCAACTGTTGTCGCCAATTGATCAGCGTTGCACCAGTAGTTTGTGTCTGTACTGGCGTACCATTACTCCGATCCAGGAACGAAAGCAGATACAACAATGTCAACGGCGGGAGCAGTCGGTAGTCTAGTTTCCGAAGCAATGCCTTCTCGTTGATGCCAAAAGTCTCACCGAGACTGCTCGATGAAGGCGTCGAGGTATCGACTTCCTGCTTGGGACCAGGGCTGACCGAGCCCTCGGCCTCCTTCTCTGCGACCGCAGACATGGCGACAATTCGATTATTAGCGTGTCAAGCCCGGTGTCGAGGCCGGAACAAGGGGAACAGAAATGAGTAGGGAATTTTAATCTCTATGTCAAAAGCAAAGTTAGAGAGAAAAGAAAGCTATGGGACTACGACTTCTATAATATTCTTCACGATCCTGAAGCACACCATCGAGCACCCGCTTCGCGCGATGTTGGCGGGCATCTCTCACCAAGCCAAGGAAACAAGAGTAGATCTTGCATCATGTCAATTACCGGCCGGGAACAAAAGACAGGGATCAGCGAATAATATTTCGCGTGAAACCACGCTGGCGGGACCCTGCGTTGTGTGTCTGAACAATGTGCATGATGAGCAATTCAGGCACTGCGATGACGAGATCGAGTGGGCGGAGATGTAGGCTGAGGATAGTCTGGATGAAAGACTAGGCAGATTAATGCTAGAACATTATTTCTAATTGTTCCGGCACTAGTTACTCCCGCGAGTGGATGTCATAATGTCATATGTGGATTTCTGATCTACTATCTTGTGGAACATATGCCGTTTTAATGCTTGGAATTTGTGTCAAACTGGTCGGGTTTGAATTCTTAAACGTCAGAGTCCCTGATCCTGGGAATGGCGGTATACAGCCCTAGATGTATGCGTTAAATAGGCGCGCAACGGTTTGGTTTCGTCCCATCTCCTTCCCTAGGCACAGCATGGACCTGACCCGAACTCGACAGTAAGTCCGATGCCCAATGTACATACTTTCCACAATCGCCATAGCCATGGGAGTTACCAATGTATCCCTTAGACTGCCCAGTCAGGATTCATGTCTTTGCGCCTCTCGGTTGTTTGGACCTAATGTCATCGGTTATCCAAATCACGCCATCGGAAGATGGTCCGGGCGACTTTGAGTATTGTGATCAAGAAACGGCCGCACAAAAGTCTACTGTAGGCGAGATAGACGCACTGCTAAACAATGATATGCAATGTGAAAATAATCAGGTTGTTGTTTGACGGGAATTTATACACAGATGGTAGTTAGCTAGTCGTGATAGGGTGGTGGGTGCATCGGTTTAGCGGCCGCAACCTTCGGAACAGCCATAGCGAGGTGTCTCGAACTTCCGATTTTTCACAAGTAGTCAAGAA